TGAAGCACAATAGTAAACTGAGCAGAATTTTGGTTCTCATAGAGATCACATACATGTCAGAACTTGGTGTCTTCCAGGAAAGCAATTGGTTATGCATATGAAAGGTAATGAGCTTTCCTGCATCAGATATGTTTCTGGTCCAGTGACCTTTGAACAGAGATTTGAAGGGCATGGTGGAGAGTAAGCCAAACAGTGTCTGGGGAAATGGTGCCCAGGCATCCACAGAGGCCTCTGTGTAGTCCTGCCATGTATTCAGAGACAGGCAGGTAAGAGGAGGGAATGTATAGATGGAAGCAACTTGCAGATCCTACTGAGAACTTCAGATGCTACAACCACTGGCAAATTGGTCCTTACCAACACTTGAAAACATAGAGTATAAGTGTGATAGTGCCTTCTTTACTTCCCAGGTAGAACTCCAACGTGTGTCATTGCTCACATTCATCCTGGGTGGAAAGTGAAGCCAATTCTTAATTTTGCTTAGCTTGTGCTAAAACCATTCGCGTTTTTCTCAACCGGCGTGAAAATGAGTAGCCAGTATCCATTTATGTATCCAGCAGGTGATACAGTTTGCTTGGAGAGGCCTGTGCTGTGGCTCTCCACATGTCTCTTCCCTGTCGATATTTTGGCTATCCCCCAGCTGTGTGACAGCCTCCTCCAACACTGGCAATGTTGCTGCTCAGAGGGGAATGAACTTCAAACTCAGAGTAGCTGAGGAGTGTTGGCCCCAGATTCTGTGAGGTTCCCATTACCTGCCTGGCTTTTAGTGAACACGTGTTGCTGCCTCCAGCTATCTTCCTCTCTCAGTGACTTACTCTGGTCAGGAGTGCCAGAGATCTTGAGTTTGATTAATATGTACAAGTGCAAGGGAATGTGATTTTGACTCCTCTGAGAAACCCTTTCCTAAAAATGAGGGTGACTGATACTGGGAGGGGCTGGGCTGCCTGCTCAGCATCCTGCTCTTAATGTTTTGAAGCAGGTGAGCATGTGTCAGGAATGTTCAGAGATGGCCCCTGGTGTGCAGGGCACGTTGGACTAGAATGACCTTTCTGGCTCAAGCCCATGTCAAACCCCTTGGAGCCCATGAATGAGTGGCTAGTGAATATGCTCCACAAACAGACAGACACTAAGATCAACACGAGGCAAATATTTTGAAAGATAAAGAATGAAATACTTGTCCTTCGGTGAGAGCAGCGGTTGGAATTTTGTGTCCTAGCAACATACCTTCCATGCTCAGTCACCTGCCGTTTGTTCTCCTTGGCCCTGTACACAGATATCTGCATTATGTGTACAAAATGCTCTCAGCCAAGAACCAAACAAATAGCTAATGGCATTTTCCTATCAGAGCCTGTTTATAAGGAGGTAGAGCAAAAGAACAAAGCAGCTGGTTGAGATTGTTGGCCGGAAGCCCATACTCCTCTGGAGTTATCAAGAGGGAAAAGAAAGAAATTTTTAGCTGAGAATAAATTAGAATTAAAGCAACAGAAAAACTCAATCTAAAAAATCCTGCAGGATTCACTAGGGAAAGGCAGAAGCATAAACTGGGTATAGTCTCGGGTGATTTTTTTTAAGTGCAAGAAGGTTTTTTAAAGGTGCTCAAAGCAATGATTATAGAACAACTTTGATTCATTATAGGTTCCCCTGATTCTTGAGCTTGTCCTCAGAGACTGCTGGATCTTGTGCTGTAATTCTACAGCTCATGGATTAGAGACATAGGAATACAAAGTGATTGTATTCCCCAAAGTTACCCCAACTCCTCCTGAGACTGGAAACCAAGAGCCCTGAAAACCGCTTTTTCAAACATTTTTACAGATGCAGCAAATTATTACATGTTTTATTGAATGTAAACAAAAGGCAGATATAGATAAGAAAGACAGCAACTGGGACTTGCTCCATGATGTCATAAGCTAAGCCTCATCCTGTGGCACCAGTACCCTATATGAATGCTGGTTTGTGTCCAGGCTGCTCTATTTTCAATCCAGCTTTTTGCTTATACTCTGGGAAAACAGCAGAGGATTGCCTGTGTCCTTGGGCTTCTGTATCCCCATGGATACCCAGAGGAAGTTCCTGGCATCTGGCGTCAGATCAGCTCAGCTCTGGTCATTACAGCCATTTGGGGAGTGAACCAGCGGATGAAAGGGTTTTTTTTTCTCTCTCCTTTCTGTAAGTGTGCCTCTCCAAAATTAGTTAATGAATTAATTTCAAAAAATGTTGAAAGAAAGAAGGAAGGAAGGAAGGAGGGAGATAGGCAGGAAGGTAGAAAAGAGGGAAGAAAGAAAGAAAGAGAGAAAGAAAGAAAGAAAAAGAAAGAGAGAGAAAGAAAGAGAAAGAGAAAGAACGAGAGAAAGAAAAAGAAAGAGAGAAAGAGAGAGAGAGAAAGAAAGAAAGAAAGAAAGAAAGAAAGAAAGAAAGAAAGAAAGAAAGAAAGAAAGAAAGAAAGAAAGAAAGAAAGAGAAAGGAAGAAAGAAAAAGAGAAAGAAAGAAGAGAAAGAGAAAGAAAGAAAGTAACAAACACAGCCATGGTGACAATATTGAGATATTGATGGTGACTCTGGGCTGACGCCTGCAGCCAATGACAGTTGCTTATACAATCTATACTCAAGCTTAGGCTAGAGCTACTTCTGGTTGATGGGCCTCCAGGGGTCTCCAGGGGTGGGGACTGAGACAGCTGTTCTAAGAAGGTTCCAGAGTCCTACCACGCCTCACTGCCCTGTCAAGCCTGAATTGGTCTGGACTGTCCATTGCAGACAACAGTGGTCTGGATCCCTTAAACCACCTGCAGGAATCTCGGCAGGGTTCCTTTATGTACCATTGTGTGGATAGATGTTTGATTTCCTGTGTTGAGACAAGGACCTGAACAAATCCAAACCGCGTTTCACTAAGAACATCCCTTTCAGGTAAAATAACCCATCTTGTATAAACAATTCCTTACCCCCAGCTCAGTTAAATCTGTCCTTTGGAATTGCTAACCATTCAGTGAGCTATTGTTACTTCTGAACAAGAGTTTATGGAGTGGAGATGGGACTGACCTGAAAAGGGGAAGCTTTTGTGTGGTTCCCTGTTAAAACACATTTATTATTCTACTTTGAACATTCATTCACTTATTTTCTTCTATGTTGATATTCTGACTCTATCCAAACAGTGTGTGACAAAACTTACAACAAAGAATGTGTTTTTAACACATAAAATGTAAATAAGTAAAATTAGAATATGGAGGAGAAAACATGAGTTAGATGAAATCTGTGTTAAATTTCAAGGTTTTTTTGTTAAACAAACAAACAATTATTATCTGAAAGTCAGAAAAGAAGAGAGAGTGAGGCACAGAGAGGTCTTCCATCTGTTGGTTCACTCCCCAGATTGCTACAGTAGCCAGGATTGAGACAGCCTGCAGCCAGGAATCAGGCGCTTTATCTGGGTTTCCCATTTAAATGCAAGGGCCTGAGCATCTGGAGGATCTTCCGCTGCTTTTATCAGGGAACTAGATGGGAAGTGAAGAAGCCAAGACATGAAGCAGCACCCATATAAAATGCCAGCATATACTGTAGTGACTTTACCTGCTCAACCACAACACCAGTATCACATTTTACCCTGAGCTTTCCAATAACCAAATTGAAAAAGAAATCCAAAATTACCAGTTATCATGAAGTGGAGGTGAAGGATCCAACTTCTTCAAGAGAGGTTACATGTGCGTCTTCTGGGGTTGCTGCCATTGGTAAACAATTGCTGAAGACCTTCATGCACTTACTGCAATGATTGCCACCCAAAACTTGGTCTCCCACCCCATCTCTCCCTTTAGTGTCTTTCCTCCAGGTTACCTGGATCCCAGTTTCCATCAGCCACATCTTTAGCAGTGTCATGAGCTCCCATTGTGTGGGTCAGGGTGTCATTGGGGAGGTGGACTTCAATTCAGTTTGATTTGTGTTGCCTAGAGTAGCTGTGGAGGTGAGGGCAGGAATTGGAATCTTACAGAGGTTTGAGATCTAGTCCTATCATCACTGCCCAGCCTCCCCTCATCCATACCTTCTCAAAGTTTTCTAGCCCTTCTCTGCTAGGTCAAAATATTGTTTTGGAACACAGAGTCTGGAAGGAATACATTTCTTAAGAGCACACTTAGGGGAATGTTGACTCAAAGGATTAGTACATGACATCATCATGTGTTAGATTTACACACCTTCTCAGTTCCTGGAAGTGGGGAGTGGAGCTGGCATTTACATAGGCATGTAGGGTTCATGAATTAATATTATGTACAGACAAGGCTAATGCTACTCAAGCCCCGCCCATGAACTCCTAAGCTCTGTTGTGAAGTTGTTCCAAGAATTCAGATATTTTTTTCCAGGAGAATGAAGAATCTGTTGAGATCCCCATCTTTTTCCATACTTGTGAAAACTGCTCATTCTTCGCTGCTTTCTCCAACCTACTAAGTCTTGAGGTTTATCAGGGAATATGTCAGAACACTCTAGAATTTAAGAGTATTGCTGCAAAGAGAGTTCCAGAAATTTGATATGTTGGACTTATGGAAATGGGTGGTGATGTGATAGTGAATACACCAGGGAAGTAATTTGTACTGTTCAAGAAGCAGAGGAGTTACTTGAATATTTTCTGAAAGCCTGTGTGTAGTGATGGTTTTAATATAAGCACATCCAGGTTCTACATGTACTGAACATCCATACAAGGGTTTGTTTTAGAATACAACAGTACGAAGAGGGATTTTGAAGTAAGTAGTGGCCTCTATGCTCTTTGGTGGGTGTGAAATTGAAGGTCTGGAGTCTCGGTCAGAGATGATCGCTGGGAAGACCAGAAACAATGACTGTTGAGTATTGCACCATGGACTAGTCCTTTGCCCTTGTCATGGCTGTGTTGATTCAGCCTCAGCCACATGTTTTGCTAGGTGAGTCTGAGCCCCCATGTGAACAGAATAAATGTGTTCAATTCTGCTTAGAGTGTTTTTCTTAATTGTTTTAAGCAATGATTTGATTCTTACCTGTGCTTGTTCTTTTTAAAAGTGTTAGAAAGGAAGATATCCACCAGACAAAGTAGAGAGGAGCTGATAAGAAGGGGAGTTCTTAAGGAATTGCCTGATCAAGGTGAGGAAACTAATCATATGTTTAAAATAATTTGATCCTTCACTCTTTAGTCTTTCTTTCATTTTCTGTTGAAATTTAAAATGACCCTGGTCCTTCTCAGATAAAGCATGAGTGATATACACCAAAAATCTTGCTTTAAGAAATTGAGGTGCTAGAGGAGAAAGACCCAGAGTTTCCCTGGCACGTCCTCTATGCCACTCTACCCAAAACTCTGAAAATAGAATCAGACATACCTACATTTTTGGAGACTATAGATACAGGTAAAGATTCAAAGGTATTCTTGACTTCTCTGTCTCTGAAACTCTGTTTTTCTGTTGAAGTTAAATTCTATCGTTGCAGTAATTTTCAGCTAGATCCATGCCTTACTTAACACATCCAGTAAGAGAAAAAAGAGGAAAGATATAGCACACCCACTCTTTATTCTTTACACTCTATGATACACTGAAATGGATGATCAGTAAGTCATGAATGGGCAAATTAAACTAATCTGCTTCATACACTCTAGTAAATCTTTTTCTTTATGTATTCTCTTAGCTCATTCTCTTAAATAGATTTCCTGCTTTGTGCATTCTCTCAAGTATTGTTTTCTTTCCTTTCTTTGAATCTAGTTGCCTCTTACCTTTTCACTAACAATGACTAATTCCAAGTATTTTTTTCCTACCTCTACTCTTACCTATTAATTTGAAAAGCAGAGTTGACACAAACACACACACATGAGAGAGAGACAAACAGGCAGAAATCAGAAATTTTCTATTTGCTAATTCACTCCCTAAATCATCATAATTGCCAGGGTTGAACTATGCCATGCCCATACTGGGTCAGTGGCCCGAGTCCGTGGGCCATTATCTAGTGCCTAACATATCAGGGAGGAACTGGATGGAGAACAGAGCAGCTGAGACTTCCATCTGCACAATGCTACAGGTGGCTAACCTTCACAGCAATGTCAGCCCCCTCTAATTACACCTTTGTTTCTGTCCTCCCAAGAAAATATCTTGCTTGGAAAATATAGGAATCAGATTGAAACTGAAATTGGCCCTAGAAACAAGACACCAGCAATGGGTTTTTCTCCAAATAAATAATACCACATGATTTCCATTCCTCCCACTGCTATCAAAACTAAAGGATATTTTGTGGCATCATTATTGATTTATCTTATTCTCCCTTGGCCCCAACATTTACTGGAATAAAATACTATTACTGTACTTTCATGAGAACAAATAGAATGCTATTAATTTGAAAGCAGAATAATAGTATTTTTCTCCTTGCCTGATATATGCTCATATTTTCCTTGCAAAAAGCTTAACAGGTTTTGGCATTCACTGTTTATAAATCAAAGTAACCTACTTGTTCCAACATCTGAGTAATTCCAGATTGGAGTTGGGAAATGTTTTACACTCTCATTTCTGCTTCAAAGACTATAGGGAAATCTGGAGTGAATAATACCATTTTTTTTTTTCTTAAGTCCTCTCAATCTTAGATATTTTACTTCGATTTTTAACCTGTCAAGCTGTCTTCACTCTACTTTATGAATGAATTTTATATCTGTCCTAATTTCCTATTAAGACTGCATATTTTCTATCTTAGACATTTGAAAATAGAACAATACACACTTAGATTTTTTTAACTGAAACATTGGCTTGCAAAATCAAAATTCATTTTTTCACCTGACTGCAAAGGGCCAGTAAAACTGTTGTAGATCTCCCGAAAGCTGACGACCAAGTCGTTAGCTTCATGGAGCGGGCCCAAACAATTGTTGACATCCTTTATTAGAAGGGTATTTTTAAATAAATAAATAGAAAAAAATATGGTTAAAATGATAATGGGTTTAAAGGTAAAGATTGAGGAGCTGTTTACTTTGTAATTAAACAATACCGATAGAGAAAGATTTTACTTATTGCAAATATAACTAAGAATGGTCAATTTAAACAAATGTTTCCTATTGCTTGATTATTATTCTACCTAACTTTTTACATCCTAAAAGTCACACAGTTCCATGACCAATATATACTTATTTCCAAGAACTCTGACAATTATTTGACCTTTATACTTCACTTTTTCAGGCAAACAGTAAAAGTTTCAAAATATAAGATAATAAAAGTCGTTAACCTAAATATAACATGATAAGTTTGATAGTTGAGAAGTCATTAATTACTGAGTCTTATTTTCTGCCTTTTGCCTGGGGCCTATTTAAAACTACAGAAATCATCTAATGTTTGAAGTTCCCAAGGATACCTATTATAAATGAAATCCTTTTCTCTTTTTAGCCAACAGCTGGAGAAAAGAAGTTTTCTGCCATCACCCCCCCCCCCGCAAAAACAAAAACAAAAACAAAAAACAACAAAACAAATTGTCTTGGGAATTACGTTGAGACTGGAAGGTGCCGTTCTTGAGGGCCTTCTGCTCTCATCTGCCAAAGATGTATTGCTGCCCTTGACCCCTGGCCCTAGCTTCAGCTCTTGACAGTGTTTGTCAGCTCTGTCTGCTTATCCCTTTAGCTTCTGGGCAGAACCTCACCCATCCAGCCCCACAGCCCCACTCCCAGGTATTATTATTACCATTGTTAATTCTTTCAGATGATTTTGTTTTTGTACACCAAGAACTAACTTCAGTCTAGAAGTTCAGCAGTCTTTCCTCTTGTGAAGTCCATGGTCTAGTCCAAGTTCCTCTAATTCTTCTTTTTTTTTTTCCTGTCTCCGACTTTACCATGAGGGTTTACCGATGTCTGCCTATCTACAGTTTTTTCTTTTTCTCCTTTCGGGTACCTATCTTTCCAATGAGCCGCTCACCTTTTGGTCAGGCATGATTTTCTCCACCTATCTATTCTGTCTTTAATCTGATCCCCATACACTTGCTTTCCAGAAAACAATAACTCCCCACATATTTTCTCACACTCATCATTTAACCACTTCTGTCTGTGCTTTACCTGATTCTGCTGTAAGCTTATAACTATTGCTCCACTTTCTCTTTCTTGCTGATAATTATGTTGCCCTGGGCCTCGCTATTCCAACCAGGCTCAACTTCTTCCACACTTTCCTTTGCTGTGCTTTTGTTTTGCCTACACATGTATGTGTCATTAAGGATTTATTCTAATTCTAAAACAATTTTCTTAACACATAATACTAAGATAAATTTACAGTACACTTATCAACTAATGCCTTCAGTTCTCTATTGAATTTCCTATTTCTCACAAGCATCTCTTTTTCTGCAGTTTTTTTAATGAGCTAGTTTTATTACATATTTCAAAGTAAGTATCTTTCCACATTATTATCTTCCTTTATCATTAAATAATCCAGTTTCTTCTTGTGCCATGCTATTAAATTTTCTCTTTGTTATAAGTTTTTTTAAAAATCATTCATTTAACCTATTGATGATTTTGATTCAATAGTGCTTAAGATTAAATTGTCATTAATATGATCTCAGCATGTTTTATTATCACTAATTAAAAGAAAATGTACATTTGTGATGGTTTGCATAGAAACTGAGGAGTTCTATTTGAAGAAATGCTCCTGCTTGGTTTAGAATTGTTCATTCTTACATGATTTTGATTTTGTTTGGGTATATTGTACTGGATTTTTTTTTCCTATAGTTAATTGCTTAAAATCCAATAATATGAATTAAGAATCATGTAAGTTATTTTTTATTTTGCACATACTCTTTAAAATTCTTTGTTTAATTTTTTGGAAATAATTAAGATCCACTTGAATGGCTTTACATTTAATTATTGTCTGTTTTGACTTTTTGTAGAATCAGATTACAGGTTGTTGGGAGTTATACAACTTAATAATTGCTTCTTTTTAAGTATAGCATAGTTCCATTATATGTGTTTTACTTCTTAAAATGTAATTCTTGTTTTTGTTAAGAAAGCCAGTGTGTGTTAAGTTGAACCTCAGCAATGAAAGTTTCCGAAGTGTTCTCAAGTTTTGTAAAGATTACTAAAACAATGTTAATCAAAAATTGCTTAGGAAAAGCTCTGATCAAAACTTTAGTTATTGATTTTCCTTTTGATGATAGCAGAACTTCTGAAATTTTTCCAGATATGAACTGAGTTTACCTTTTAAAGGGTCACTGAAATAAGTTTCTGTAAAATCTTGTACCCTAGTTTGGTTGGTTATGAACAGTTGCCTAGGTACATTGCCATCTTTCTGTAAACATAAAATTAAGGTGTTAACACTGGCACCATTTTTTCTCTGAAGATGCAATATATAACTGTGAAAGATTAAAATGTCATATGTGTACTCTGAAGACAGTGGTGCTCAGATATCTTCATATTCTCTCACAAACTATGTAATCACATATCTCATTGGTTGTCTATTTGCATTCATCTTGTGACTTGGATGCTCACTAAAATGTTTATTCCATATACCAGAGTATTGCCATCATTACTACTCAGTGTCTTGCCATGAAGCATAGAACCTGGGCACGTAAACAAAGGAATCTACTGTCCTGGGATGGCGTGTGATTCAGACCATTGTTCCCACTGCCTTGATCAGCACACACACATTCTCTCCACAACAGCTTTCCCTCATTAACAAGAGTTTTCTACCTCTTTTATTTTAAGTGAATTGTTCTGTAATACCAGGGTACTTCCAAAAGTTCTTGGAAAATGGAATTAAAAGGTCCATATGTCTTGTTGTAAAACAATTTTTAAATCCACGTATAGTTTTTTGCAATACACTTTACCTTTGACCTTTTCTGCACAACCAGATATGCACGGATTTCAAAAATTGTTGCACCAGCATGTTTGCTTTTTAAATTCCATTTCCCACCAACTTTTCCAAGTCTTCTCACACCTGAGATCACAAGCTTGATGCCTTAGGGACTGAAGCACGAGCCCAGATCCCACCATCCCAGAGAGTGGGAAACTGGTTTTCCAAAAAGCCATCAAGTTAGACATCTAGGTGTTTCTTTCCCATTTTAGATGGAGATGTAACAGTTAACTTTGAAAATTCAAACGGTCACATGATACCCATCGGCGAGGAGTCTACCCGAGAGGAAAATGTAGGAAAGTCTGAAGAAGGTAATGGCTCTGTATCTGAAAAAACGCCACCTCTGGAGGAAAAGGCAGAAGATCAGAAAGGTAAAATAAAGAGAAACACGATATTATGTATGTTAGTGTGGCCCAGGTTTTAGGCTTGAAAACGTGAGCATTAAACCTACACATCTGCAGAGAGGAGATTTACAAATCTAAAGAAGGGGAAGTGATCATTTGTAGTGAAGATGGCTTCCATCGATTGTATAAGCACATTGTTTTCAGTTCTTTTTTTTTTTTATCATTTTATTGTTATGAGGATTGATTAAAGGTAATCACCATCAGAAGTGGCCTCTTCATTCAGAGATATTTGGGGCGGTTATCTTTTTCTTGGGAACTTTCAGATAAGACAAGAAGTCTAAACACTCTAGCTGCTGCTTATGTCTTGCACATTTAGGGGAGAAATGTGAAAACCTACAGGGTTTGCTCAGCCCAGCACTGTCTGTGGTGGTGGGACTTGGCTGGTGTCCACACAGTCGGTAGTGTAGGTTCTAGACATTTCTAGGAGAAACCCGAGACCCTTTCCCAGAGAGGCAGTTCTGGATGAGCTCTGCTGGCTCAGCACCACAGTTGCTACACCTTGACTTCTCTGTACAGTTGAAGGATAAAAGTACCAGAGGTGTTTCAGAAAGGTTTCTTGAAGGCCATTTTAGAGACTTTGTTTTGTAGAATTAATATCCTAGAGATTTGAGAAGCCTGCAAAATCTAGGATCTACTGGGACATTCACAAGTTCCTCACTGTGGATTGGTTTCATCTCAACACCACTCTTGCATGTAGGAATCTGCAGGTCCTGCACTTACAGAAATGTGAACTGGAACTCACATAGAGAAAGATGGTCTTAGGAGTTTCTGGATCAACACAAGCAGTGTAAAATCGAATCCTCAGGAACAGGTTACTTGTTCCTCCTCTGTAATGTCTGCCTCCAAGTTTGATGGCAAAAACTTATCAAACTTAGTAAAAGTTTGGTGAGCTTTAAAAAAACTTCTAGAAAGTGCTGGAATCGATCTTCTTTCTTTTGTTCTTGACACAAATTCTCCAGCGTCAGAGGAAACAAGAGTATTTAATGGCCTTATATATACTTGGTAGTGTACCAGTTATCTGCTCTGCAATTCCATAGCACTTAATTGTCTACATATAGATTAGCTCCTAAAAGCTGGAGACGCCTGTGTTAATTAGTAAAAGTTATTTTGCCTTATTCAAATATTAATCAGATTTACTCGGGCTTTTTCCTTTGGAGGTCCCTGGGTTAAAATAATAGACACTGATTTTGAGAAACTATCTAAAACTTTTAGTGACATTGTTCCTGGACTATCAAGAGATAAGAGATTTAAAATACATTTTAAAGAGATTGGATTGAAAGCATTAATACAAGTTAATGATGTTTCTTGTTTAAATATAATTCTCCTGTCCAACCTGTTGAATTTCAAATCCATCTGATTCGTCTTGACACACAACCCTTTTACATTTAAAATCATGTCTCATTAATTCACAGTGCCATCTTTTTTTTATTCTAAGAATTCATGTTTATTTACCTGAGAGGCAGAGATACTCTGTGCACCAGTTCACTCCCCCAGTTCCACCCTGGCTGGGAATGAGCCAGGCTAAATCTGGGATGTAGGAATGCAATCCAGATGTGGAGCATAAGCATCTAAACAAAGGCAAAACAGTCACTCTGAGTAGTGTCATCTTCAGTGACTGCCTGGTCCCCATGTGTGTGAGTCTCTGGACTGGCCACATTTCAAAGGAAATGTTTTCCTTATCAGCTAATAAAATATTTGCTGCTAGTTTTATGTTATTTAAAGTAACAGCCCTTGGTGTACTTAAAAAAAAAAATAGAAAAAGGGTAGACCTTCTAGGTCCATGGATAATTGAGAAATGTCTTAGTCTTTTATTTAGAATTAGTACATTGAGTTTTTTGTGGTCTAATGAGGTGCAAGAAAGCATCTTGCTTGGCTAATGGAGACCTGAGCTGATGGAGATGCAGGGATGCTTAATGCCACCAACATGGTTGCGTAGTTCCCTCTTGCTGAGGGTTCCCATAGCAAAGACCAAAGCCATGCTGATGCTGAAGAGAAATATTGGGTATGGAAGCCATTTCCTGATACTAAAAGGAATATCACACATGAACAGTATTAGAGTATTGTGTTAAATAGAACACACCTGTGAACAAAAACCAGCAGATTAACTTATCTTGAAAAACATCACGAATTCTGAAAGCTAATTCAACATTTGCCTTTGCTCCTTTTGTAATCTCACTGCTGCGCAAACCCAATTCATACTCCTCATTCATCCTTCATTTTGGAGTGTAGTGCGTGTTCCCTTGCCTTTGGCATTGAGCCCATTTATTCCAGAACATTAGTTCGTGTATTAAGTACTTATATTTGAAAAATTATATAATATACCTTTAAAGTCCTATGTGTTTGTTAATCCCTTTTAAGACAACAACTCAATTTTTTTTAATTTGAAAAATTGATGAAGAAAGCAAAACAACTGGCAAGTGGTGGCCTTTTTGTACATGCTGTGGGTAATGCCCACCCTGAGCTCGTGGCCGTGTTCCTGTGCCTCCGGATTCCATATTCACTGCAGTGAGGTGTTTGGCACGCAACTTCACTTTTTGACTTCCTTTGCCTGTTACTGGAGACTTCTTCCTCAAAGTCTCCAAAGTCTCCTGTTATTATTTCTCAGTAAGTGTGCTTAAATATGTAAAAGACAGACAAATGTATCTTCGGTCTGTTAAATATAGCTTGATGTTAACCATGAGAAACCTGAAAGCTATTCGATTTTATTAACAATGAAATATTTTTAAAGGGCTGTCAATGAGCTAGCATGTGATGGCGACTTATTTGTTCCACAAATAACTGTTACCTACCATAGGCTCAGACTCTTCAGGGAGCCCAGGAAAATAGTGGTAAAAGGAAACGGCTTTTGCCCTCAAGGAAACTGTGGCCTTCAGGATTTCCACACGCCACCCAGCCATTGCAGCACAAATTGCAGATTTCCACAGAAGGCCAGAGTGTGAGGAACTAGCCCAGAGAACTTACAGAGGGCTCCAGAACACATTTCTTCTAAGAAGATTTTTCCACACTCAGACCCAAAGGAAGAATGTGAAAGTTGTCAGGTGATGGAGAAGCACTGAGACAGGGGCGAATGCGTTCTTGGCGGAGTGAAGAATGCCTGCAGCCCTGGACTTGCTATAAGTTTATTGGAGTCAATCTGTCATGTGCTAAAAGGAGTCGTAGGACAAATAGCTTGTCTTGCAGATTGTATTGTTGTGAAGCAAACAAGCCAGAGTGCACAAGCAGCCCTTTCTTCACCTCCCCTGGCAAAGATAGCACTCTCCTACACCATCAGTTTATATCATGTGCTCAGCTCATACAGTCATGGTCAAAAAAGGCACTGAGACTTCACTCATTACCTCTCTGATAGGAAAAGTCTGTTTTCAGTGAATTTTTGTGTAACTGTCAACCAGTCATGTTCATTGAATGGAAGTGGCTTTTAGAACAATATGTTTAATGAGATAATAAACTATCACCCAAGACACAGAGAGAGAATGATCCTAAGTTAATCAGCAAACAATTTGCACACTCACATGTATGTCCACAACTCATGCATAGCACCACAGTGGCAGATACTCATAAATAATTGGTAAAGATCAAAGATAAGTTCTCCTTATCTTACCAGGGCTTCTCCACAGGCCAGGGAGAATCTATGTGCAACATGTGTCCTTGCACTCCCAGCAGGCATTGCGATTCCAGCCGTCACACAGAGAGCCAGGTATTTCCCAAACCCAGAGCTCAGATCTTTGGGGTATAACTTTAGAATTGAAAACTTCAAGTAGAAAGAACAAAAATTCTTTTAAGGCCATGCATAAACAGAAAGGCTAGGACACATAGGGTGCATAGCATAAAAGAGAATCAAGATACCAAGTCCTGGACATCTATCTACCTGCCGTCACCACAGACAATGATGAGGGACCTGGTCTGCATGTGTTGCATAATGCTCAGGGCTGATATTACAAAGATGCACTTGAGGAAAATGCCTTTGGCCTGTGTGTCATGTGGCAAATCCTGTACATTTGTATATTTCACAGCAAAATTAAATGTGTAGTTGGACATCAGCTTGCATCATTCTCAGCCCCAGCTGACTCTTGAAATTAAAAGGCCTTCTGGTTCAGACCATGTTGGGGCATGAACACTGCTGCATTAAAGATAATAAGCAGCTTAACTGACGTGAAGACATGAGAAACAGAAAGGCAGAAAATACAAGATAGCCTCTGATAAGCCCAAGTAAGTGGCTCACACAATCAGGCTGAATGCGCAGATGGAGGAGGCCCATTTGGACCTCATTGGCTTTGTGATTCTATCAAGATGAAAGATGAACTTCACCAGAAATATTTTATTGGTTATCCCCTGAATAACACCCTAAATAACAGGGGTCAGGTGGCTGTTACGGTAATAAGAGATGTGACTTCATATTGATTCAGGAAAGATAAAAACAGAGCTGAGTTTTCACTTCATGTTCTCTCAGGTAAGAGGCCAAATGAAAATAATGCAATGGAATACATTCAATATTCCAATCCCTTCTTGGTTCTTGAGTAACAGGAAGGATATATACGCAGACTTAGTGTTTTCTTAGTACTCTCTCACATTTTTTATTGTGTTCTCTGTTTGAAAGGAATGCTGCTTAACTCTTTGGACCAGGACTGCATTTTAATTATTTTTATTCCAGTCAATCGCTAGTGGAAAATAAAGAGACATGAATAAATGAATAAATGTGCAGGATCTCTGTTTTCTGTAATGAGAGACTAGCTCTAGTCTTCCCGCAGTTATGCAAATCCCCTGAGACACTTCTGTTTCAAGTATGAGTTCTTCTGGCTGAGTTTTAACCTTTGTCTCTGTAGTCATTCTAGGAGGCCTACAGTTGCAACAGTAGATCAGGAAGCCGCCTGAGTTCCTAGGCAGAGCTTGCGACTGTCACTAGTGCGTATAGGCCGTTATTCAGCACATTGCGGCCCATGTGAGCAATCCTGCAGAGTCTCCCTTAGTTTAAAATATCGTTGATTTTGCCCACAATGAATCCCTTTGCTTGAGTTCTAGAAGGTTACTGAGTCCAGTGGTTGGCATGGCTGTATATATATTAAATGTACATGTCTCCCCTGTTGGAGAGACCTTGGATTTTCTTAAGTCTCTTACATTCAAATTTAGCACTAAATCTCCTCTGCCCTTTGTCATCTAATGACCTAAGCAGCAGGTTGGAGGTCTGCAATCAGGGACTCTCACCTGGGACTGTAACAGCCACCCTCAAGAAACCTTTTACAAAGTCATTACATGTGTGGCCCAGTTTTATCAAAGGAGTGACTAAAGGACCCATACAATGCAGTCCTGTTTGTCTTCCAGCCTTTGCTTTTCACTCCATGCTTTGCTCTGTGTGATGCCAAACTCTACCTGATTCCCAGGGGCCACGCAGCCATATTGTGTATCACTGTCACCATGTCTTACTCCATGTATTTCTATGGTGTATGTCTGTATCAGTCTGCTCTGTTCAATTTCTCATTTGTAGAGAACTCTGAAAACCACTCTGAAACTCCGGCAGCTCCTGTTCTACCTCCTTCAGATCCTCCTAAGCCTAAACCCAAACCTAAACCCAAAAAAACACCTGTGCCTCCAAAAGGGGCTGCCGCTGGGGCCAGCCACAAGGGTGACGAAGTGCCTCCCATTAAAAAAAATGCCAAGGTTCCCGGTAAGCAGGCCCCTGTCCCTCCACCTAAGCCAACAAGCCGAAACACGACCCGAGAGGCTGGTGAGTATGGTGCCAGTGAGCTATGGGGTTGAGTCCAGGGTGTGTGCCTCTGGGATGGGGCTACTTGTTTCTTCCACATGTGATGGGTTTTTAGTGTCTTAGAATTTAGTATCAGGATTCTACTTTCACACACAAAGGAGATTTCTTTGTTTCTGTCTACCAAAGGAGATTGTCTATTGATTAGTTCACTCATTATATTTCCTTTGTTGGAGGGGGTGTGGAAGAGATGTTTCTTATTTTATTTGAAAGGCATAAGCAGAGAGGGGTCTTCTGTCTACTCATAACAACCAGAGCTAAGCCATGCTGGAACCATGGGCGTTAAACTTCTTCTGGGTCTCCCACAAGGGCCCTAAGCCCCATCACCAACAGTTTGCCTTGATCCAGTGGCCAGTAGCTGGACTGGAAACAGAGGAGCCAGGACTTGAACAAAGCACTCTGATATGGGGTGTGAGTATTCCAAAGGTGGATTTACCTTCTGTACCACACCTATTTAGTCTCATCTTAGAAAAGACCCAGCTGCAGGACACAGGGAGCAGTGTGCCCAATGAATGATGCTGATCTGAAATGATATTCTGTAGACATTGACTGACCTACCTATTTGAGTTTATGTGTGGCCTTTTGGCTTGGGTTTTCTTTCTGAAACTGCATATGCAAATACATCATTTATCTCTGACATATTTGCTGGATCTTAACTTGTGAAATCTCCAGCAGTCATAGTCATTCCCCTTCTGGTAAATGACAAAGTGTTTGTATCATTTGGGTCAGCTCCACCACATTCCTTTATTGCAGTCAGAAAGGTTTCGGTGAAACTGAAAGTTAAACGCTCAGGATCCTTTTCCATTTCCTCTCCCAAGAAAATTCATATTGTTATATGTGTGATGCTTTTCGAGATGCTATTACAAATCACCAGTAGTTGCATCATCTATAGTAGGTTTCTTCTAATCAGGTTGCTTAATGCAAAGAGGAACTTCCCTTCTTCCTGTGAGGTAGAAGGAAGAGGCCTGCCATGTTGGTTAGCTTTCAAAGCAGCACACATCAAAGACCGCATGCTCAAGGGCTTTTCCCTGTTGACATATCTGTAAAAATTCTTCTGTGCTGTGGAAAATCTACTTTCCTTAAAATAAGCAGCAGTACTTGTCTAGTCTACTAGGATTTGCCCTGGTGTCCATCCCCCCACCACCTCATATTGTATACCCTTAATGCTCAGTTCACAGAATGGTCCATCCACAGGATAGCAGCTCTCTCAATGCAAAGAGATGTCTCGCTCCCTGTGTTGCTCTTTCCCTTTCTGACCTGTAGCGTCTGGGTCTCTTCTAATAAGCTCTCCAGCAAAATGGCTCAGGATGATGTGCCTGGCAGCAGCACTGGAGCACCATTTATCTCCACAGGGACCAACTGTCCTCACATGTCAGTATCCTTTCTCGTTCTTGTGCGTGTTTCCCAGATGGCCTCACAAAGCCCCAGAATGCTGCCTGGAATGAGACAGACCCTGATCTGCTTCTCAAAGCAGAGTCTCAGACTGTCGTATTGCCTCTGGGGATTGTGGTCCTGTCCTGCTTCACTCACATGTGCGGGTGACTCACTATGGACTCAGCTTCAACTATCAAAAGAAAGCTGATGATTAACACAAAGGCCCAGGAACAGCTTTCATGAGAAATTCTGAGTTCTTACCAGATGGTCTCACGATGCTCCAAAGAGGGAAGAGTGCAGTCATTGTGTGCACTGTGTTGTAAGAGAGCTGGCAAACCCATATGGATGGAGACACATCAGGCTGTCCCAGGGCTATCACAAAGATGCAGGGTTGCAGCATAGACACCAATAAACTCATGTACAAAGATCATGTGTTGATAGTATTCAGGATCCTGTAGAAACTCTGTTTATAACCATGGAGAATTCGCCACATGATGACATTGTATTATTATAGAAATGTTGACTGGAATAGTCCATATGTAGCTGTTCATTTCCCATCATATCTACCGAATTCTTAGAAAAGTGATCAGTTAAAAATAGCATAGACCTCCAAATAGCCAGATGTTAGTGTATAGCATTCCCTTGCTTAACCAGGAAGGGAAGGCAAATCCTGCACTTTTTTACCCCCTTTCTTGTTAGATGTATTGTTAACAACAAAAGTTCATATTGAAGAAAAGTCACTTTTTTTTTCATCATGGCATCTATTCAAGGCAAAAAAAAGTCCTGTCACTTAGAAAGCATTTAAAGAAAAATATTACATAGTTTGAATTTGCACTCCAGATGTTGGGGGAAAAATATCTTTATCTGTAAGCCAGGTTAAAGTTAAACTTTTCTTTTAGAAAAAAAAGTTATCTAAAAAAGTAATAGAGTTAATATACAGGATATATTCTGTTTATCTGAGCTAAGAAAATATTTGGATGTGTTTAGGCATCAAATTTTAGTGTCCTGATTGTGAAAAATAAATTTAGAATGGACTTAGACTGAAAGGAATATGCTTAATGAGTTTGACTGATAGTCAGTAAAGGTTATTAATTATAAATATGTATCAACAGGTTTAGATTTGAAGAGGTAAAAATCTAACTATGCATATCCAAGATAATAAAGAGCCTATAATATAGATTCCTTGATCTAGTAATACATGAGATTGGGTTCTTTGCTGTAGTGCTTGGATCAACGAATCTTGCATCTCATCATATGTTCCTTTATCTGTTCTTCCTCATTAAACTTCCCAGTTGTCATCAATAAGGTCATAACCAGAGGTAAGTCACAGTAGCATCTGTTTGCAGTATGAGTCAGCTCCTCAACACTGAAAGAATATTTTCTAACAGGCATTCAAGAAAGAGGGAATATACAACATGAGAGTGGAAGCAACTAAGAGAAGTTTATAGATCATAAAGGTCATGAAACAGAAGAGGATTCTCTTGGGAGTTCACATCTATTTCCTAAGATGATACTTAAAGAAAAGGGCTAGTTAACCTTTTATCCCCCTGAAAATGGATTGGTTGAAGGCAGTCCTTCCCAGAAGAGGTAGATAATACCACTGCATCCTTTGAGGAATGGTCTGCTGGAATGTAAATGATCAGGAAGAGCTTTGCAAAGGTGGAGTCCAATGTTCTCAGAAAGATATGCTTTTCTGCCACATTATTCAGGTGCCACCATGTATATATTTTGTGTGGGGAAAGAGGTTTGTTTCTTTCTGTCTGCCTTTTGGCGTTGAAGAATCCCTGTCTTTCCTGTGTAACTCTATGCCTTTACCCTATCAATACCACACATGGAAATATAGGTTAACATGGTGAGCTGCTCGTTCAGCCACTAGGGTTTAGAGTTTCCTTTTGAAGCAGTAGGATTTGAGTGAATTTACTACTGACCCAGAAAGGAACTGGAACATACACCTTGGCCTTTGCAGAATGTAGGCCACCACTTCATTCCCAGAAAGACAGCATTGAGTATTTATGATTTGTGATAAGCCCAGCTGTGTGCTGCTTCCAGCTGGCTGCTGGTGTCGTACCCTCCCTATACACTGCAGCTCACTTCTCTGGAGCATTACAAGGGCTTTGTCAGGTACCCCACAGGATGAGGAACTGAGGGTTTTCCTATTGGCTTATCCAGCTTTAGACTGAAACAGGTGGAAACAGAGGGCTTTTGCCCCTAGTTTTGTTGTACCACTTGTTATACATAGATTTTTAGGTAAGCAGTGCATTTAAAAAAAAAAAAAGCCATTATCATTATTGGCTTACTTCATTGCATTTGTTTATCCAACAGATTTAAGGAGGACATTTTAAACATTGACACTTGTAACTTAATTGCTTTATTTGAAAAAGTAACATGTTCTCTGACTTTTAATACAGAATCTCTCTGTTTTAGCTGGTTCCTCTCATTCAAAAAAATCAAGTGGCTCCAAATCAACTTCACCATCTACTTCATCCACCTCATCTCGTCCCAGAGCTTCAAAGGAGACAGTTGCTAGCAAAACAGGGGCACTGGGGACTGCAAAAGGCAAGAAGAAAACTGGCAAGCAGCCAACAACATCTCGACTGTCTTCCGAACCTACCACTTCTGGCACAGAAGACCTTACAGGAGAGCTTCCAGAAACCAGAATGGAGAGTATCAAACCCAAGCCAGTTGTCCCAGGGACAGAGGAACCGAGTACAAGCAAGCCCAAGCCTTCAGTCCCTTCATCGCCCATGGCTCCACCACCTTCTCCCCCAGCCCCTTCTCTTCCTCTTGAGGATCAATGCATTGTTGCCTCAGACACTCCAGTTGTCCTGGTCAGCAACGGATCTGACCTGCCCGGCTCTGCCTTAGACCCAAGTCCATTCCTTTGGACTGAAGAACCAACAAACAGAACCACCCTTCCCTCAGGCACTGGCTTAAGTGTTAGCAGAGAAAATGCAAAATGGTGAGTTGGGACAAAGCTCATATTCCGTCTGCATACTGAAGATTACTAAAATAGTCTTTCTTTTATACTGTTGATAAAATTCAATTGATAAGGCAGAAAAATCTCCCTTTTGATTAGGTTCTGTGTCAATACTCTGCGTCTTCTCCATGGACTGTTCCCTTCATTTTCGTAGAGAGTTTATTTTGGACCTTTAGCACCTTTATATCAAGATTGCTAACTAGCTCCTGCTCACTTTTAAGAACTCACTTAGCCTTCTATTTCCCTTAAGAAAATAGCGAGCCATCAGGAAAGAACTTTTCCAAATTCTGAGTCCTTATTTCCAACCACAGCATTTCTACCTTTCATGTTTCCTCAACGTTGTACCAGCTCAAAGGTTATCTCCTTTGTGAAGTTTTCTAATACTTCTAGACAGAATTCGTTATTAATCCACTATTCTAAGACAATCCTTTTTCTCCTGTCTTTGGGACAGAAGTATTCAATAGATCCTACTTGATTGTATGTCCCCAGTAGAACAAAAATAGATTGCAGACACTCAGGATGCTCATTGAAACACTGAATACAAATAAAAAAGGGCAGTGGAAAATGGCCCAGGGATGCTGTACCTGCATGGGAGACCTGGAAGAGCTCCTAGCTTTGGACTGGCTCTTCTCTGGCTGTTACAACTATTTGGGGAGTGGGCCAGCAGAAGGAAGATCTTTCTCTCTGTATTTACTTTGTATATCTGCCTTTCCAATAAAAGCAAATAAATATTTTAAGAAAAAAAAAAAATAAAGAGAACAAAGGAAGTAGGAGAGAGATGAGGAAAAGCAAGGGAGGAAGCATATGTCGGGAAGTATCATTATGCTGTTAAAATCATATATATAATATACATGCAATTGATTCCCCTTATCAATTTTTTTAAATCATTTAAAAGTGTAAACAGCCTATTTCAGTATGGTAGAAGTAGTAGTTGAAAATAAAATGACCCTGATGCTTAATTTTATAAAGAGTATAAAGGAGGATCTTGAAAAAAATGTAGTTAGTCTTAACTTATTTGCTTTAAGAAGGTAATTCAACAAAACAGGCCAAGGAAGTGGATGTTGCACTTAACAAGTTAGTGGCCTCAGCTCATCCTAAGAGTCTTCAGCCCTTTTCATTCCTTACTTTAAACATTCACAAAGTACTGCAAATAGTCTTCTTAAAGGTAAATAAGACAGGTCTGCCCTCTTGTCCTACAAGTGTGAAGAGAGATTGTAAGTGAATAGCAGGTGAAACTGTCATTTTCATCCGGGTAAGCCTTAGAACTTTTAAATTCAACCTTTTTTCTCCCATTTCTAAATATAAAACCTATATTCACTCTTCAAATTATTTAATAGGCCCTCTTTCCAAAAAATGGTTTTAAGAGTTTTAAGAAAATACTATACTTAGCTGCTTTTGATCAAGCGTCTAAGATATCAACTGTATTTAAATGCTGAAAGTAATAACCTTTACTTACTGTATACCTATTTGATATAAGGAACTAAGTTCTATATATATATTATTATTCAATTCACGCAAATTTTCCCTGGCTTATTCCTGTTTAATAGATGAAAAAAAAAAAAAAACTAGCTCTGAGAGAAGTAAAATAGCCTAGCGAAGATTGCCCAATTAGAACTGGCAAAACCAGAATTTAAACCCAGCATCATACAGCAACTTCTATTCTCTGAATAATTTTTGTTAAGTTTTCTCGAGCTTCTATATTTTCTTTCCTGATAGTTCTGTGTTTTTATCATTTATAGAGCCAAATTTGGGAGGAATGCCAAGGAAAGATATATAAATATTAAATTTTACATTAGTTTGGTTGGCATTTTAAAAGAAGATATGGGAAAAGAAGATATTGAAGTGTAGTGGTTATGGTGCTGGTCTGAATGCTTTTTGTGCATTTCTCGGACTGGGTCATTTATAATGAAAAGAAATTTGTTGCCTCACAGTTCTGGAAGCTGGAAAACCCAATATCAGTACAGACAGTGGCAGCTGGGGAAGGACTTTCTTGCTGCATCATTTTGTGCATGTAGAAGATGAAAGACGCCAAGCGCAAGAAAACAAACACATCCCCATGAACCCTTTCATAATGGTGTTAATCCATTCATGAGGACAGAACCCTCATGACCTAAATACTGCCCAGTATATGCTACCTCCTAACCCTGTCACGTTGGGAGACTCAACACATGAGTTCTGGGAACTATTCAGTCCATCATAGTATCTTTAAAACTTCCAGCATGTAGCAAGTACTTTCGTTTAATTCTCGTGAGTGTTTTCTAGCCTTACAATCACTTCCAGTCTGTTGAACTGAACATTCTTCCTTCCAGCACTTATATTTTGCTTACCTTCTCTGTGCTGGGCAATATACCAAGCAGCAAGAATGCAAAAATGAATGACACAGTGTAAGTGATAGTTTCTAACAAAATGTTGTCCAGTACACACGGGAACAATAAATATTTGAGACAACATAAGAATTGGGGGAAATAGGTTGAATATAGGCTTATTATTCAGTGTACCAAAGAGCATGATATGCCATACAAAATGTTTCCCAAAGATGGTCCTAAGCATGCCAAGAACGAGTATCCAAAGATGACCTGACTGTACAGTTCATTTCCATGAACATTTGGGAACCACACTTTACTGGGCTAAGCATCACACTGTGTGCTGGGAACTTAATATCAGTTTTCAGCCTGTGTATGTGAAGAATTGTCAGGTGGAAGAAGCAAATAGCCATTCTCTATGTCTCCTGTGGCTGTCATCAGAAGGGGCACACTTAGGACATTGTTAGAGCATATTTTTTAGATTTTCATAATAATTTTCATCGATTTTCCTGCCAGTCAGGCTACCTATCTTAATTCTTGTGCAGAAATTTCCTCCTCCTGTATATTCTTCAGAATTAAAAGCTGCAACTTTAATTCATGCTTCAGGGTGTTTTGTGTTTGCTCTTGAATTAATAAACCTGAAATAGGTGGGCTCTCAAATTTCTTTCCAGATTCTTTCTTCAAGTGAATATTTGAATTAGAATTTTTGGCTCTCACTCACTCGCTCTACTTAGAACTCTCCCTGAGTTATATTTAGTCAAGTAATGTGTGAAGATTCTGTCATTTTATGAAGAGACTTCTGTTTGCAATACAAATATCAAAACTTTACAGAGGGCAAGTGGCTGTGTATAAAAAATACCCACCTCTGTTCCCATATGGCAGTGAACTAACTCTTTGGTAGACTTCTCTTCATTGGCAGCCTCATCAATAACACATATGTCTGGTATAACGTAAGGCAGAAACTTTTTTGAGGCCATATCCAACAGTGACTTGATTCTATTCAGTCCGTTTACACAAACATTTATAAAATGTGTGTTTTATTCAACTTGTCCCGGAATTGAGCAGGAGAAAAAATGAAAGCAAGGTCATAAATCGCTTGCTAGAAATTTGGAGTATATTTAATATTAACTATACTATATTAATCTAATTGATAAGATTTAGTGAAAAACATACATCCTATGATACATTTAATATGCAGACCAAAAGTCTTTAGCCTTGTTTCTAGTCTGGAATAGCTGTTGGAGTGGGCAACTCACCAAAGATCTTCTCCAGTTCCATCAACTACACATCAGAAGACCTGTCTATAGTATAACACATTTGTGAGGTATAAATGTATACTGAACTCTGAAAACTACTAAAAATAATGCATAACTGATATAACAAATTAGTAAACAATGACACAGACGAATATCAGAGCTCATCCCTTTTGTTCTGCTACCCACAATGCATTAGTGCTGAACATATCTTTCCAGTTTGCTATGGTCACCAATAGTAACTAATAGACTTAAACATAAGGAGCTTCCAGTGGCAATCAAGTAAAACTCCAGATCATAGATAAGTTTTTCTATTATAATAGTTCCATTATATACGATGAGATTTCATACCAGGGACAACAATGTAATGACTCTTCAAAAAACATAGAATTACCAGTTGAGCCAACAATTTTACAAAAGTAGAACTTGTATAATGAAAAGCTTTGAAAGCAGGTCTTGAATTTGTACTCTAAAGGTTCACAGCAGTGTTATTCACACTAACTGAAAGATATGTCCATTGAATGATGAAAGGAGGAGCAAAATGCATCATAAATAGAGAGAGAGATCATTCAGTCACACAATTAAAGGAAATTCTGACACGTGCTACAACACGAGTGAGTCATGATGACACCATGCCAAGTAAAGCAGGACAAACATGAAAGGGCAATTGCACAATTTCACTTACATGAGATACCTGAAACAGATTCATAGAAATAGAATGTATAATGGTGCTTGCCAACAGTTGAGGATTAGAAGGTATGAGGCTTTACTGGGAACAAAGTTTCAGTTTGATGAGATTAAAATGTTCTGCAAGTGAATGATCATCATTATACAATAGTGTGCATGTAAAGGCTTTCCTATTTCCCTGTTTGAGAATGAGAGTTTAGGCTATTGGGATTTCTAAGTGAAAAAAAAAAATGGATAATTTTGAGAGTACTCAGGTACAAGTAGAACCATAATGCAAAAGTTTAAATCCCTCATATTCTGCTAAAAATTACCTGTGTTTATTGTTCAAAGAATGCTTGATTTTTTTATTTGCTTTTTGTTTTTGTTAACGAGAACAGCAGACACGTGTTTTGTACTGGGAAGTCTTTTAGAAGTGTGATGTCTGAATTTAGATTATTCTATTTATATCAGAAAGTAATTTAGGGGATCTTCTGTATCTTCAGATGCAAATCACATGAAGTTTAGTGTATCATATGCTTCTGATGTAAAATATATTTTTTTATGCTTGCCTTTGAAAACTGCCAAGCTTTTTATATTTATAGAAGCACGTTAAACCAGACACACTTACTAAGCTAAATAATAGAAAATTATTGCATTCTTGTGCATCCCCTTCCTTCTAAAGAGTGTTTAACTTTCACACTTTCCATCTCATGTTATAATAGTCCTGCGAGGAAGTTTTACAAACGGAGAAATGAAAACAGACAATACATGACTTTCCCTGGCGATACACTGGCCAGGATGAAAATAGGATGAATTCCTATATTAACGAAAAAGTATACTTTTCCCTTTTAAGATCTGTTATTTAATTGAAGGGCAGAGTTACAGAGAAAAAGAAAGAGGAAGAGACAGAGAAAAAAAAGAGATCTTCCATCCACTGTCCACTCCCCAAATGACCACAGTGTACAGAGCTGTACCAGGGCAAAGCCAGGAGCCAGAAACTTCATGAGAGTCTCCCACATGGGTGAAGTAGTCCAAGGACTTGGAACATCCTCTGTTGCTTTTCAAGACCCATTTGCAGCGAGCTGGCTCACAAGTAGAGCAGCTGGACTTAAATTGGTGCCCATATATGTATGCTGGTGTTCCTGGCAGCAGCTTTACTTACTGTATCACAGTACTGGCTCCAGAAGGTATACTTTCTATTGCCACTAGCAGGCTACAAAGCAAGGAGTCCATTTGTGCAGGAACTCATAGGTGTTGGGAAGGCAGATAGGTTGTCAGTGATCAAAGTGTATTGTGAGTGCCCTGTGGACTGTTCTGAGTCACCTTAAGTCAGTAACTAAACTGACAGCCCCTAGAATATTCCTCAAGAAACCAAGGTTTTACTGAGATTTAAAGGTTAAAAAATACAGTCAGATATCCAGTAGTTTCTGGTTTGTTTTTCTTTCCACTGGACTCCCATATTCTATGGAAAAATAAATTCCCCCAAATACAATTTGATTACATTCATTTGCTGAATGTTAGATGCAATCTAGTTGAACCTTTTCAATTTATTAGTGAAGAATGTGTAATCTGGGGCCCAGCACCATGGCTCAGGGGCTAAATGCTCACCTTGAACGCAACAGGATCCCATGTGGGTGTCGCTGGTTTGTGTCCCTGCTGCTCCACTTTCCACGCAGCTCCCTGCTTGTGGCCTGAAAGCAGTAGAGGACGGCTCAAAGCTTTGAGACCCACATGGGAGACCAGAAGATGCTCCTGGTTCCTGACTTAGGATCAGCTCAGCTCTGGCATATGGCGGTTGCAGCCACTTGGGGATTGAACCAGGAGGCAGAAGATCATCCCATGCCTCCTTCTCTCTGTAAATCTGTCTTTCTAATATAAATAAGTGAATCTTAATCATATATATGTATATATTTATATAAAATCCTAAGAAGTCAGTATTACTGCACTCTTGTTTCAAATCCCAGCTGATCTACATCTGATCCAGCTTCCTTGAAAAGGAATATGTGTCTTGAAAAGCAGCAGAAAATGGCCCATGTCCTTGGACTCCTGCACCCATGTGGCACACCCAGAAGAAACCTCTTTCTCACAGCATTGGTGTTTCCCCTCTACTCTTGGGGTTATCCTGTGCCTTTGCCTCACCCCTGTATTTCTATGGCTTTAACAGCTTCACAACCAAAGATGAACTGGGGAAGGCAGCACCTCAGCTACTCACCCCTGGACTGATGGGAGACCCTTCAGAGTCCTTCAGTGCCCCTGAGGATGAGAGCCCACGGGAGTACCAGGCCAACGACTCGGACTCAGATGGACCCATCTTGTACACTGATGATGATGATGAGGAAGAGGACGGGGATGAGGATGGCAGTGGAGAAAGTAAGGCTGCTTTCACAGGGTGGGGACTGGGGGGAGGAGTGGGCAGTGATGGAAGCAAGTGCCTTGCCCCAGGAGCAAAGGCCTGTTGCCAGTTGGAGACATGGGTGTCCTGGAGTCGAATGTTTGGAGACAGGCCCTTCTAAGGATGATGTCACAGGACCGGTCCAGCCTTCCCTTCTGTGCTGGTGCAGAGAAGCAGTACATTCTAGGCAGAGGGATCTTTTTCAGAATAACAAGAAGTTGTTCTCAGAGGAAGAGCCTCGGTGCAGGCCTCCTTGGCTTGCTGCTGGAAGGCATTTAGAATGGGACTCTCTCTTTTAGCACAGTTGAAGGGGAGGGAAAAATCAATCAAAAATGGCAAGTACCATATATAGAATTAAAAACAAAGACTGGTTCCCAATAAGTGAGACAGCATGCCTTCCATAAGAAGCGATGCTAAAGTGGGGAGATCTCACTGCACGTGGATAACTCAGGGAACTGGACTGTGCTGGATTTTACGAAACTTCCTGAGCAGGATGACCTGCAGGACTGAACTGATAGAATATGAACAGCAATATAAAAGGACTGTCATAGTCCTTAATCAGCAGTTTGTTCAATTCCTTGTAATCTGCACAGAGCAGGGAAAAAATGTTATCCATCTGATATTAACTATCATCTGTTGAGACTTTAGGGATTCTTGCACCACTGGGGGTTAAGATATTGTTCTGCAGCATGGGGTCTTTGCCAGTGCGGTGTCAGAGTGAAGGAGAAGGCAAGACAGGGATTAACTGTGCAATATAAGTCAAGGGATTGACTTGTAAAGCTTGAAAACCAAAAGGCATTGTGCAACCAGTGATTTCCATCATCCACCATCTCAGCAAAAACAAGCTGCAAAACTCACTTTGCAAATGATGAGCTGATACTTCCAAGTTTTTCATGGTGTCCCAATCTTCATCTTCAAACTAAAAAAACAAAAAAACAAAAAATCTTCAGTCTTTTTCAAAATGAACTCCATCCAACTGAAAGGCCTTTTCCTCTTAGGTTAATTAAGTTGTTTCTCTTGCATGAGGATGAAGAATTTAATCTGAGCTCTGTATAAGTTAATGCCACGTGTTACCCAACTACCACTACCTAGGAGCTGCTTTCTCTCCATTTCTGCCCTTTTTAAATCCTCAGGTGCTTTGGCAAGTAAAATACGACGAAGGGATACTCTTGCTATCAAACTTGGCAACAGACCATCCAAGAAGGAGCTAGAGGATAAAAACATCTTGCAGCGCACATCGGAGGAAGAGAGGCAGGAAATTCGGCAGCAGATTGGAACCAAGCTAGTCAGGTAATTGCTGAGATGTTTGCCTAGCACTACCTGTTCCATGCTTTTCTTCCTCTAGAAGATTCCTTACTTTGGCCCAGCACTGCCTATTTCTTGCATTTCTTGCTCTCAAGATTCCTATCCCAAACTAAGTTCCATGTGTATGGGCACAACTGGCTCACATGATCTTTCAAAGTTTGTCTTGAATGGTGAGCCACTGAACCAATGACCTTGCTGTTCCAGTTAGCCAATGGCTCTGAGGTTCCCAACACCTACCTTAAGGAGTCAACAAGCCATTTTACCATGGACCAGTTAGTAAATATTTTGAGCCTTACTAGCCAACAATTTCTGTTGCAGCTTGTTGGATATGATGGGACAGCATGCAAGCAGGTGTAAACAGTATATGAACAAAGGAGGGTGGCAGTATGCCAATAAAAAGTAGCAGGCTAGACTTGGCTCAAAGAGCACAATTTGCCCAAATCCCAACTACATTTATAATCTCCCAAGCAATCCTGTGACTCCATCAAGGTTTGCTCTGTGGGCCTTGAGACTGTGGAAATGTTCCTTGTCAGCTCCATCAAGTCAGGTAATCATACGCCTTATACAAAGTTGCCCTCTTAACTTCAGATAAATGGGTCACCTTACATCTCTTCCTGCCAAAAGCCATTCCTTAGGATTTCTGCTTTTGCTATTCATAACTTTGGAACCTCACAATGAAAGTGAATTTTCATTCATGCTGAAGCTCTCATTTTTGATCAGCAGTTTTCAGTACATTTAAGCATCAGTAACTCTGCAGACTTCTGCTCTTCGTACATATCAAGCGAAGTGCATACTTAGCAGAAGGAAACAGCCTGGATTTAGATGAGGCGGCAGTGGCTGTCCTTGCTTGGAAATGAGGGGTCTGCCCAACTTTGGCATAGCTGCAGGGTTGGCACAGGGCTTTGCCTCTCTGCACCGTCTCCGCAGGGAGAATGGCCCCTGTGAGACTGAGACCACATGGTGAGATTTGAAGGCTGGTTTCACCGATGGCCACTGTGACATCTGGGTGAAGGGAAAACTCTGCCTAAAGGACAGGCTAGGAAAAGGCTCTGGGGGTCTCTCTGAGACTCCCACCGCTGGAAGAAGTTCAAGAAGAGTTTGCCAATGACCATTTTTTTTAAACTCTGGTATTCTCACTGCAGCCCTAAACTTTGACCATTTCCTAACTTGAGCAACTAAAGTGATTAACAGTATGGAGCCGAGAGGATCTTACAAGTCAAACTTGTAATCTTACCAAGTAAAAACAGGGCTCTCTCTGGGGCCCAGAAAGATTACGGAAATTTTTCAAGGACGTGCAGTTCCGTAGTAGCAGAACCAAGGTTAGAATTTCGGTTCCTGGGCTCTCTGCCCAATCTTCTCTCGTGCATATGGTCTTCTATTTTGTACTTTGTGTGCTAAGTTTTTTGGATTGTTTTATTGTCCTTGCTTATTGTTACAGTGAGTAAGAACGTGCAAAAGAAAAATATGTAAAAGAATGCAAAATAAGATGAATCCCTTAAAAACAAAGAACATCATCATTTTATTACAGTAAAGGGTTAAAAAGTAAAGTTTTATACCTATGTCCCAATAAAAGTTGAGCTGGCATTAAATAAAATTTCATGTTCCTTTGTTTAAAATCCTATACTAATCAGTAGCAGGGTTTTTTTTAGACAGTACTAGATATTTTAGTATGTAGAGATATCCTAAATTCAGTTTTTTATTGAACAGAGATAAACAATTTTGTACTAAAATTTTAGTCACAATTATTTTTAGTGAAAAATATAAAACATGAAAAATACTATTGATATACCCAACTGTGTACTACAAAGCTTTGAAAAATTATAAAAAATTGCTACACATTCACTCCAGGTTTAGAGATGTATGATCCATCTATAGCAATCAGTATATTTATATGATAATGATACTCAGCAAGAAAACAGAACAGAAAAACAGGAAATTGTACTTAATAAAACAGTGACGATGTATTCGTTTTCCCATCTGTGAAATGGGAGTTATCTGCTGCCTTGCAAATTGGTTTTAGGATTCAGGACAACATAAGTTCAGCATCTAGCACAGGACCTGGAATCTTAAAAGTCTGATAAATGATAGCTTTTGGCTATTGGCAAAGAACCACAGCCTGAATTCTCATCTCCAGGAGTGAACACACACTTTCAAGGTACTTCTAAACTCATTGGTAGGATCTCAGTATCGTGACGAGGAGAAAAAGGCATTCCAGAGGAAGAGAAGTCCAACAGAAAAAGAAAGATGATGGAGATGATAGAGAGTCCAATATGTTGGAACTGCAGATACGGGGCTAGGACACACGGATATGTGGGTGGCATGGAATGTGGCTAGAATAGGCAGAGATGTTCACCGAGGTTTTTTGTGAACTCAAGTGCTTAAACTAAGTTCAGAGTAGCTGTGATAAAGATTAAACTTCAACAGTGTTTTTAATGAGATATGTGAAGTGTTAATTTCAATTCCTCATCTCATTTTTGTCTAGGCATAAATACTTAGAATGTATGACATCTGACTTTTTTTTTTTTAAAAAAAAGATTTATTTAGTTTTATTGGAAAGGCAGATACACAGAGAGGAGGAGAGACAGAGAGGAAGCTCTTCTGTCCAATAGTTCACTCCCCAAGAGGCCGCAACGGCTGGAGCTGAGCTGATCCGAATCCAGGAGCCAAGAGCCTCTTCCAGGTCTCCCACATGGGTGCAGGGTCCCAAAGCTTTGTGCTGTCCTCAACTGCTTTCCCAGGCCACAGGCAGGGAGCTGGATGGGAAGCAGGGCTGCTGGGATTAGAACTGGCACCCATATGGGATCCTGGCACATTCAAGGAGAGGACTTAAGCCGCTATGCTATCACGCTGAGCCCACATCTGACTTTTAATATTATGTTTCATATACATTTGTTGTACCTTTTCAGGCTACATCCAAAGGAAATGTTTCTCTTCTATTCACAACAAATTTGGCACATAAACATGACCAAGAGGAAGGTTATAAAGGGCTATTAGGACATATAGATCTCATGTCAGATATACAGCATCTAATTCCAAAAGAGCCTGGGTTTTCTTGAGAGTAGATGGGAAGAGCCTATAGATCCCAAGGCAAGTTTGGCTGCAGTATGTTCACTTAGGGTCCCCACAGCAGTGGGTCACTTACTTTGCTTACTGTACAGTACCGAATCTCTCTGAGTTGGCATGGCCTCCAGAGCAACAGCCTGCTTTAAACACTAATAATATGCACATTAACTGAGCTTTTACGGTGGAGGCCAAAAAGCACAGGGGTTCAACGAAGGTGTGATTATTTCCGTTTCACATGGCAGTCAGGAGGAGGGGACCATCCAGTGTGGTTGAGCAACGGGTCCGTTGTCTCTCTTTCTCTCCCTTCCTCTGGGTGTCCCCATCTGCTTGAGCAGCGCTCGCTCCCACCACCAAGGTTAAGTTCTAATCTGTGGAAGAAGGGAAGAAGTGAACACACAAGCAGACATTATAAGGATAAAAAGTGGAAGTTACAAATGTCAGTCTTTTCTATGCGTTGTCCAAACACAGTCACATCAGCATATGCAGCTGTTGGGGAGGCAGAAGGCTGTTGCCAGACACCTCACTGCAAGTCGGGCAGTTCTGTTTCTGCAGGGAGGAGGAACAGTGGAGAAGGGGAGAGTTAACACTCCCAACCACCATCCGTGATCTCCAAAGTAATACAAAGGAGGCGTTTATTTTGCAATTTTTATTTCTGATTTTTTAAATTGCTTTGTTTGTTCTTCTATTTTGTTATCTCCAGCTAAAGGGTCCTTGCTTGTAACTTGCACTGTGTCCTTTTTCTTCATAGGAGACTCAGCCAGAGACCCACAACTGAAGAATTAGAACAAAGAAATATATTAAAACGTGAGTATTCCATGTTGTTCAAAGGTTCCTTTATAAACATTAATAAAATGCTTCTAAGCATGATCTGTTTCTCAGTAGGAAACCATAATATATTAATTTACTCACAACTGGCTGAAATGGCTCATTTATAAGACAATTATGTACAGTTATTCATATGCATAAAAAAATCTCTTGAATTGGTTTTTTTCACTTCAAATCTTCAAATCTGATATCTACCAGACTAGATTCACAGAACAATTGGTAGAAAAGGTGAAATATGCTCCGTGTCTTCTTCCTTCCAAATGTTAAGCAGGAGAAAATGGCATTGTCTTCTTGCAAAGAAATGTCAAAGCAAAGCCAGAGAATCCACAAAGATATAAATCAAAATTTCTTTTTTACTATTATTAATAATACAGTTGGTTACTTGGCTTAACAGATGACTCCATTTAAAACAAAACTATGGGAAAAGGGAATTTTTCAGTCTATTTCATTTTCCTTTGTTGTGATAACTCTGCTTCCTTCTTAAAGTGTTCATCATTTCTCAGCACCTAAGGAGTTCCATGCTCTTTCTCCTGCTTTATGTTCTCATTCTCTTTTCCCTCTGTACTTTGGCGATTTGACTGGCCACTGCAGCAGTTTTTATTGGCATCTCTGGGCTAAAGGCTGAGGTTAGCAGAAAGGCAGTCCATCATACGCTTGTATGTCAGTGTGACCACCAACTGCAGTGAGTTCAGAAAGAGAAACTTCAAGCAAAACTTAGCTGGTATTTTATATATTATTAATCTAGCTTCATAAGCACATTTTACTATATGAAAAACCAAAGAACAGGGTGGAAAGAATTTCTGGCGCTACTATTATGGTAAAGAGCCATTCACATGTGGAAAACCTTCTCAACCAGTTGAATTGGCCTGCTGGATGCCCATCTGAGCTGCTCTCCTTCCTGCTTGTTTTTACTCAAATAACCCAGGAAAGCAGACTTAACACTGAGGGCAGCAGCATCCTCACCTCTCGGATCTTTATGCTTGCCATGCATTTTTTTCTTACTGCTTTGTGAATATAACTTCAGTCGAACCTGAGAACCAAAGTGACTGTCAGTGTACAGACAAGTTTGTTTGGAGAAGGAAAAGTCAAGACCTGGAGAGAAGGAAAAAATTGTGTTTTCACTTTTTTCAGGAAGGAGGAAAGCAACCGCTAATTTCAATAGAAAAAAAAAAAACCTTTTTTTAAAGGTTCATTGCTTTCAATAATAAGTTCTGAAGAAAGTTATGGAAATAAATTTTAAGGAAGCTCAAATATAATCCATTAAGTCCCAAAGAGTTTTAAGTCCTATTGGGCTCTGGTGCAATACCTAGAAAAATATAGCTGAGCATGCTCTGGGTAATTCTTTCCTGCTCCTGTGAGACAAATAGTGCCAAACCACACTGAGTTTGGTTGTTTGAGGAACTGCTTCGTGGATCCATAAATTTATCACACATTGATCTTAAGTGCTCTGTTGGCTTCTAGACCCCCTGATTTCCTGGAGGTTTGGGAAGGAGTGAAACACCAAAGTCAACTTTAGATTTCACTCCAGCCCTTTTTTCATTTCCTTCTAAGTAGTAAGTACATCTAAGAATATTTATTCTGGAAACAAAGGGCCTGTTTCCAGTCTGGCTAGGCTGATAACTAGCTTGTGATCTCCTGACACAGTATTGTATAGCCAGAGGAAGCCAGGAGAGCCGGGGGAGGTTTTAGAGCAATGTTCCCAGGCTTTGTGCAGGGCAAGCGAAGGGAACTAAGTGGCTTCACGACCTCTTTTGCCTCTGAGTTCTTCCAGGTAGCTTGCTGTCCTGAGTATTTTTGTGTATTTCATTTCCAGCTTTTGTTCAAAAGCAACAGAATAATCTCTTCAGAGAAAAGTGTATGTGTGCCCTGATGTGGTTTTGAAGTAACTAGGTCATCTTTTTCTGGACCAATTAGGAGACAAATTAACAGTGTAAAACATTGAGGAGTTCTCACAACAGAGCCCATCACTAACTGAACAGATGTGAATGAGATGGTACAACTGTTGGCAGCTTTCAGTGGACACCGTAGGACAAATTTTGCTGGCTGGAGTTATTCCCCTTATTACTCCTCACTTGAGTTCTTTCCCAGCTATTTGGGTGACACTAGAGACAGCATGAATGTTCAGTTAAATTTAATTATACATTTAGAATTAGTTCCTTAAAAAGCATAAAATCGAAACATTTGTTTGAAAGTTCAACTTTAACCACCAGGAAAGGTGATGTGTGATGGAATATCTTTTATAGGGCTGGATTTGATAAGACACACACAGCCCACACCCAAGCAGTCTCCAGCCAAGATACATGTCCTCCATTGTTCACAGAGCAATGATGGATTAGGCCATTGGTGTCTGCTTGTATGCTTCCCCAACTTTTAATATGAAAAAAATGTTTGAATCTATAGGAAAACTGGAGGAATTTTGCAATACTCATTTATCTATCATCTGTATTCTATTAATGTCTTTATCACATATCTATTTGTTGATCCAGTTTATTTTTTAGGCGTTTCAAAGTAGTTTATAACTGCATTTTCATTTGCTAAAATAGCTACATGAAAATGTATAAAAACAGCAAAAGAGAAAAAAGCCACAAAAGTAACTTAACTTATTTGGAAGCCATTTATCTGAATTGATGCCTCCAGAATATCATACTATAGTTTTGTGGTATTTCTAGCATTTCTTTCTTCTTCTTTCCAGTCATCCACTCCATGGTCTAGGCAACACTCACCAGCCAGGCAGGTTTCCCACAGTACCTCTTGCCTGTATCTTAGCGCATGCATTGTTTGGGAGTGTATAGGAAACGTTTCCTGTGGCTGTACTGAAACATTACCCCTCTCTGCTCTGATGGGTGTTGCTGAGAGCAGGACTGTCAATGAGCTCTCTCGCTTTCTTCACACATTCCGCTCCAGTCTGCCCACAGTGACCAGAAAGTTTTCCTGCCACTTGATAAGGAATCAAAAGTGAAATAGACATGCTAAATCTTTGAATTTACAATATTGATTGTAATGTTTAACCTTGAGGTTGTCCGAGCTTTTCTAATGATTATTCAATAAAACTCAGAGGAAAAGCCATGTCAGCTTCCCTCCACCTCTCACCCTCTTCCTCTAACTTCTGTTGATGTTTTGAACATGGGAAGTATAAGGAAATCAGTTCCCGATGCCAAAAAAGAGTCCCCAGATAGTAAAATCCTGTTTACTTAACTCATAGCTGCAGCTGGCCTTTCTTTTTCTAACAAGGAGGCTGTTACCTCATTGTACAATATGCTTAATAAGGCAGAATTGTCTCATATTCCCTTAAAGGAGGTGACAGTTTTCATTTTTTTATGAAAATTGGAACATTGTTGGTTTTGGATGTATTAAATGGCCATTGTTTTTGTCTTTTGGAAAAAAAAATCTTTAAAAATACAGCATGATCACTGCATAGGCAGAACTGAATATTTATTAATAATATCAAAGCCCTCACCTTGTAGAGCTTTGGTGTGAATCACACCCACACAGTTTGGCATATATGTCTTATGTACTCACAATCAGGGTGCTTTCTCCACTGACAACCCAGTGCTTTATCTAGCTTACAAGTAACTGATTGAATCTAAATATGTATTGTAAAGATATGAAAAGGTAGATATTTTGTGACTCAGAAAAATGTATACTATTATATCCCAATGTAATGCTCACAGGCACTTAATGAAAGGGTGTGAAGCAGGTGTTTCTGACTTTACGGGTTATTTGAATTCGTGTCCACTCGTCTAAAGAGACTGATCATTCTCTTTCCTCTGAATGAAGGCTAATATTTCAGAAGAATGTAGGAACTTCCCCATGCAGAAAAGGAAAATTGATAGAGAATTTAATCTGTCAACAAGGAAATATAGGTGTTACAAGTATGTCATACTAGCATCTTATTCTATTTCAGATTATCTTAGGGGCAAGAAGTCTTTGAACTAAAAGCAGATCGAATTATCTTTTCCTAGGAAAGAATTTTGATTTTGCCTTGACTTGATTGAACCTGTAGAATGTGAGTTTCCTTGAGTTGACATTGTGTTAGCAGTTTCTGAAAGATAATCTTCCATTAGTGTTGCCTTCAAGGACTAGACTCTGTGCTCATGTACCAGAATAAAGACGGACTACATGAAACCACCACGAGACATTCTCAGAGAAGCAACTCATAAACCTGGAGGGCTGTTGGCTTCATTCAAAATTCTGAACGTTATTTTTCTTTAATCCCACCTGTTGGGCAGCATTAAATTGTGCTATGTGGTAGAACGCTAGAGAAAGAGACTTCAGAAAGTTAAAATCACAAGAAAATAAATAATTTCTACCCGCAGTGTAGCATAAGCCCATTTGGAACATTCTGGTGTCTGAGTGAAGCCTAAGGAGATGCTTAGATTCTGCGTCTATGGAAACTGAGGAAGACAAATCAAGTATTTTGGTTGGATTTGAATGGAAATTAGCAGCTCAGACAGGCATTGCATGGTTCTAATTTGCTCTTTTAATAGGTCTCAGATTTTCACATGAAGGCCAGATCCAGAAGTAAGCTTTTATCTGAGTCCGGGTAAAATTGTGTAGATGAACCCTTGAGTTGATCAGCATTACAAGTATGAAGCACTCTTGTGTTTTTTGCAGACTGGAGCAAGAACTCAGGATGCAAAAAGATTTAGAATGAGTGAAGGAAAAAAAATCATACACAAATTATCTTTCTACAAAATCTTTTGGCAGCTTCTCTGAGATGTTGGTGGAGTACTTGATCAGTTTCTCTTAGACTCTGATATTTGTGCCTGATATGTTCTTCTGATTATAAAATTATCTTGAGTAACCAAATCACCCTGTGTGTCCCTCCTTAATAAGCAGAAAAGAATGAAGAGGAAGAGCAAGAAGCAAAAATGGAACTTAAACGCAGACTCAGCCGAAAGGTGATGACACATTTATGACTGTTAACGTACTTGTGTATTTTCAGATGTGTATTGCTTTTTTAAAAATACAAGCTGCATGTAAATGTCATATTTAGGACTAATTATTCCTATGAATCTACTAAATAATCATTGACAATAAAATCTGTGTAGTGCATTTTTAATTGTGAAAAGTTAGCAATCAAAGTTTTTTGAGTTGCATTGTCGGGTTTTGAAATTTTTAAAGCTGCAAAAATAAATAAATAAATAAAATGACACAGAAGTCTTCCATTCAGAGACAGCCATCATTAGCATTTTGGTGAATATATTTCCATTTTTGAAAATTGTTTAAAAAATGCTTGCACTTTACCTTTAGTTCTAAAAACATAAGATAAATATTTTGGTACCAGTGAATATTTGCCACTGTTCCATCTGAGAGCTAGGGGAATAATTTATTAAGTGAGCTTGATCATCCAGCCTTCTGGTTACAGCCCTACTGAAATTGACAAATGGTTTACCTCCAAAACTCAGACAACTATTTCCACTTATTTTTAAAAATATAAAACTGAATCCAACACTATCATTTTTTTCTATGAAAACATAATAACAGTCTTTGGAAAATTAAGCCCTTTTTGGAGCTTATATTTGTATTATAAATTCTTGCAATAATTCTTCAGCTATACCTTTCATGCTTAGAAAAGGACAGAGTGACTAAAATATGACATTGTAGTGAAGTGGGCAGCCTGGCCCACATTTTTGTGGGCTGGCTGGGGAGATCAGAGCAGAAGCGTTTTAAGGCGGGTTCAGGAAATACTCCATTTCCATGGAAAAGTTATAGGGACTGTATTTGGAAAGATTTTTGGTTTTCAGGGAAAAAAGATCCTAATTCATTTCTTGTTTTCTCAAAGTTCCTAAATGTCAAGTAATGATGAAGCTGAACGTTTCTGTAGTCTCTGTGTCTGAGATGGCTCTGCTGGCAGACAGCAGCCCTTGAACTTCCAGCTGCCCCTCTCATCACTCAGGTCTCCCTCCTCACAAACACAGAGTCTTTTTTCAATCCAGTTGGGTCCTTCCACATTGAAGCAACAATACCTGCCCTTCTCCCTTCCTCCAACTTGATCACACTGAACCGAGCTCCCTACCATAGATGCAAGTCAGCTTCTAACACTGAGAGCTCTTCAATGACTGACCTCTTCCTGAGGGGCAAGACTGAATGAAGAATTTCTGGCCTGTGTAGCCATTGGTTAGCTGCCTTCTGGCTGGTCCTCAGGAACAAGTGTTTCTCTTATGTCCCTACCTCCACCTGCCATCCAAATGGACAGCAGTTAGGAGAACAACAAACCACATGTATTATTCCCTCCTCTCTCCATTGCCTACTAGAGCTCTCTGAAGACAGATGGAGCTGTAATAGGCAGAAAGGCTTAGGGTCTGGACATTCTGAGAATCCATAAATGTCTTTGATCTCAGAACTCTGACTTAATTCAACCTCGAAAAGTGAAGCTCTGGGAAGGGACTACCCTTGACTGCAGAGTACACATATAGTGTATTATTTTTGAGACTATGAAAATATGGAATATCCCCCAAAAGGGATAGTCTAGTTCTATCCGGAGGACTGATGAGCAACAAACAATACTGAAAGTTAATTCTGCAGGTTGAGTGGAGATCAGGATCTATCCAGTAATGCTGTGATTTTTTTTTTTCTGAAGACGTAGATTTTATGTAACAACAGCAAAGGCTTTTATTCTCATCTTCAGTTATTTCATGGCCTTTGTGCTAATTATTCGACCACAAGAGCAGCCCTCCTGTATGCAGGTGACCTAGCATGGTGCCTGTGGCCCTGCATGCTCCTGTGTCAAGGATGACAGACAGCCTGCGCCTCAGTGCCAGGCAAGTCAAAGCGAGCAGCAAAATGCAGCAGACTGCCCAAGACTGTGACCTATCTAACAAGGATTATTTTTATAGTCTCAAAAATTAGGGCACACTGCTTTCGAGTTCTCATTACAAATCCCCAAGATGCGGCTGCCTTTTTTATGGATTCCTGAAAGTGACCCTGTTTAACCATAACTTTGGAGAGTTCTGTGTAGCAAACTTGCCACCGTGAGGCAGTCCATGGCTTACTGATCTCTGCCTTTCTCTCCTGTCTTCTGCAGCTCAGCCTGAGACCTACAGTCGCAGAGCTCCAGGCTCGAAGGATCCTGCGGTTTAATGAGTATGTAGAAGTCACAGATTCTCCTGACTACGACCGCCGAGCAGACAAACCCTGGGCCAGGTTAACACCTGCAGACAAGGCAAGAATCCCAGTAGCTGTGACATCAGTTGGGATGCTTTCTAAAAGCTCCACTATACCACTCATTCTCCACTTAGTCATCCTACAAGATTGGATCTTACCACATATTCCTGGATCTTACCACATATTCCAATATGCTGACTCATGTGACGTGTGTCACTTTAAATGATACAGTTAGTGATACCAATGTGGTTGCTTTACTGAAATCTCAGAAAAGATGCTTCTTAGTTACCCTGTATTCTGCCTGCATTCAAATCTAGATGAGGAAGGCCTCCCCAGAGCCAAGATTTATCCATACCCTCGTAGAATATAACTTACACAACTCACTATTATTTTAAAGGAGGATGTTAATGGTGAAAAGGATACTCAGATCAAGGATGGCCTGCTTTTTTCAATAAATGGACAGAATAAATATTTTAGGTTTTGTGAACTATAAAATCTTTGCTGCAACTGCTCAGCTATGGCATTTGGCATGAGAGCAGCTGCAAACCATCTATAATTGGAGGAATGTGAATGTGTTCTGACAGTTCTTTACTTCCAAAAACAAGAGTGGGCCTTACTTGTCCTGTGGGCCATGGCTTAGCCACTCCTCTTCTCTACTAGTGCTCACAGTTCAAAAGAAATTCAGTATATAGAGTTCCCTCCGTGTAGAAAAACTGTAATGGTATAAGTACCACGATTCCATTATCCCCAATAACGTGTTCATGTTTGTCTCTGAGCAAAATTTGATATTGAACTAACTCGTCTTAATGCTGAACTACATATTTAGTGATGCCCTGTGTTGAAACTTTTTAATAGGAAATTGAGTCCCCTAAAGCACCCACTGTGTGTCTACTACATAATGAAGGTATTTACTTGGAAATGAATAGCTCATAAGCAAAATGAAAGGAAGGAAGGAAGGAATTGGGAAAATTTTCAGAATCAGAGTAGAAGGGGAAGAGGCTGCAAACTGTCCCCCAGGGATGAAGCACTTAGGAAGAGATGCAGCAGGTTAAGGAGAAGCCCTAGCAGATGGAGAAACGGGGGCTTTGTGGCACGTGTGGATGATGTCCAGGAGAACAGCCATGCATGCTCTTTGTGCACAGCAAGAGGGCATGTTGTATTGGACTGGTGGGTGGGAGTCTGACTGTGGCTGAGCAGATGAGGATCCAGCAGAGTGCTGGGACTGTTGACCCCGGAGTGAAGGGGCATGCTGAGGCGGCCACAGGAGACAGAGGTGGTGATCGTGGCAGCTCTAAGCTCAAGGACATACATTTGGAAAGCATTAAAGGCTACCAAGGGAGTGATATTTCTCCTCAGTTTGTGGGAAATACACAAGCAGTTTTTATGCTATGCGATTCCAGCCAAAAGAGAGTGAAAGGTCGAGTGCACAGGAGAAAAAGAGTAACTGGTGGAACAGGACGTGATTGTGGAGCAACAACGGGTCCACATCAGGTGGAAAGGGCAGAGGAGACCCCTGGGGTTGGAGGGAGCTGACAGATGGTCCCTGGAGGAGGCAGCAATGAAATGCATCTCCAGGGTTGCCACTCGGCCTCTCCTTGTGAATAGTGTTGAGTGATCCTCACATTCCTGTGCAGTGTCCTTGAGTTCTACTTCTGCGAGGTGACAGTCTATTTTCTTTTTAGCTGGCAATTTGGGGCTGATTTAGAAGAGTTCTTCAGGTATTCCAGTTATGTATGTTGCATCTTCTTCCCATTTGGCAACATTTCACTCTGTTTATGGTGTTTTTGATTAAAAAAAAAAAGATTCTTAAATGAATTACAGTCAAATTTATAAGCCTTTTTCTGTGGTTGTCATTTTAGAATTTTTAAAAATTCTTCCTGTACCAAAATCATAAATAGATCATTCTATATTGTCTTCCAAAAATGATTATGTTTCACGTTTGTGTTTGAGTTTTTTTATTTGGCTGGAGTTAGTTGCTTTGGAAAGTATAAGATATGCGTTAGCTTTATTTGGCCATCTGTATTACATTTATTTCTATGTCATTACTGTGGTATTCCTTGATCTGCAATTTCCCTTTCCACAGCTTCCCTTCTTATGTATGGCTTAAAAATATTAAATAGAAAACTCCAGAATTAAAGAACTTGCAGCTTTCACTTGTACACTGTCCTGAGTAGCATGTCTCCAGCTGTCCTGCACCGTCCCACCTGGGAAGTCAGTCTTTTTCCATTGGATCCAAGCTGTATATGCTACCCACCCATTATTTACTTTGTTGCCTTCTGCATTATCAGAATAGCTGTTGTAGCAATATAGTGGGTTGTGTTCAGATAATTCTTGTTTTGTTTTCAGATAATTCTTGTTTTGTTTAACAATAAGGCTAATAAGTGTCCTATTCTTAGTTATTATTAACAGTACCTTTACCTATACCATGATTGTATGGATATAAGAAAAATATAGTACATATAGGGTTCTGTACTGAGATTTCAGGCATTTACTTGGGGTCATAGTCTATTCCCTGACATAAGGACTGCTATATTTCCTTTTTTTTTTTTTATCTGTTCCTCCTAATTTTTGAGCTTCCTTTGTGAATCTTCTTAAGGTAGACTTTCTAGATGATTACTTCTCAGCCATCCTTATTTTCTAATTTAAACACTGAAGTCCAAACATGATCCTGTGTGTCCAATGCTGCCAGTCATGGCTAAACAATATAATCACCTAGGGAGCTTTAGAGATGTGGATATCTGGCTTTGTTCCTCTGAGATCCTATTCTAATTGACCTGGAGTGTAGCCTTAGGGATTGGGGCTTTTAAAGTATGTGGTCAGTAATTATAAATGCCTTGTAGATCCTTGATAACAGTATGTATTCTATATCTTGGGAATGTGTTATTATAAATATGTCTCTAAGGGCAAGCTGGCTAGATGCATTCAGATGTCTGTAGGCTTAGTTGTTTGCTTAATCTCTCAGTTTCTAGATGTGTTTCTGAACTCCTTTCCTTTCAACCTAATCTCTTACCAGTTTTGTTTCTTGTCTTCTGAGGTGTGTTATCAGATATGTGTAAGTTTAGAATAGCTACATTTGTCTGATGAAATCTTTGTTGTTGTGAGTCCATCTCAATAGGTGATTTTTGTTGTAAAGCTTATAGAATCAGCTATTTGATACCACTATTTTTAAGCTGGATTCACATGTCAGTTTATTTTGCATTTACCTCAGTGTTATAAATTCAGTTCGCAAACCTATATGCTAGCTCACTTGTGAGTTCAAGTTCCCAGGTTTGAAATTATCTCCCTCCGCTACCCCTTTACTTATTTATTAAGCACCAACTTGAAAGTTTCTTTACTGTCCTTTGAGGTTGACACTTGTGGCTCCCCCTTAGCCAAGGTTATGCCATGTGGTCCCCACTTTAAAGGTGTAAGAGTAATTGGACACCTTGTTAGTTTTCTGCCTTCTTTTCCATCTCGCAACAGGCAATGAACCTGACTGCTGAAATTCACCATATTTAATCCAGCAAGTGCCTTCAATGTCACAAACAGTTTCAATGCTCACTTTCCTCACTTCTCTGGGTTTCGTTTTCATTTTATTCCTATGTGTCATAGTAGGATTTACTTTCTTAGCAGCTGTTCAACACATTTAAGAAAATTTAAGGTACCACATTTAGCATTATTTCTTTTATTTGAAAAACACAAAGACTAAGAGAAGCAAAGGCAAACTGCCAGAGTTCTTCCAGCCACGGTTAACTGCCTAAATACCTGTGACAGCTGAGGCTGGGCAGAGCACAGCTGCAGGGCTGGGAACTCAATGGGGCCTTTCCCATAGGTGAGAGAGATGAGCCTGCTTGGGCCCTCCCTTGCTATATCCCAGTGTATACATCAGAACGAAGCTGGGATCAACAGTGGAGCTGGGACTCAAGTCTAAGTGATCTGATAGGAGATGTTGGTGTCCCAAGTCATGTCTTAACTGCTTCAGCAAATGTTTTGTTGTTGGGAGGTGAAGCTTGTCTGTCCCTGGTAATAAGTACAGAAGATTGTTTTTTTCAGTTTTGTGTTGAAACCAAAATGGCTTTTTGTGCTGGCCTTCCCCGCGTCGGGGCAGCGGGGCTGGGCCAGGATTTCCTCCTGCAGGCTTCCTTTGTGTTTACAAGGACTTTCCCTTCTGCCCTGCAGATAGAACCTACAGCCCCGGGACACGGATCGCCCCCCAGCTCACAGATGGAGCCTGTTTTCTCCCTCCAACATGTCTCACGTTTCTCCCCATGTTTAATTTTTTTTGTGTTTGTTTTTTTTCCCATGTTTAATTTTTAAGAGCTATAGGACAACATTTCCATCTTTAAAATATATATATATCGATTTATTTGCAAGGCAAAATAACAGAGATTTCTATCCAATGTTTATTCCCCAAATGACTGGAAAAACATGGGCTGGGCCCAGGGCGGACTCAAGCCAGGAGCCAGGAACTGCGTTCATGCTCTCCACCTGGGTAACAGGGCCCCAGACCCTCGAGTCATCATCTGCTGCAGGAACCTAGATGGGAACAACCCACACTCCAGCATCGCGAGCAGGGGTCCTACACTGTGCCTCATCCACTGCATCACAGTTTCCACACCAGGGCAATAATTTCAGAGCTGCATTTTTAATGTATGTTTCCCTCAAAGCAAAAGAAAGAAAAATGAGGGAGAAATCTACGCCTCTGGTTTATTCCACAGCAGCCAGCGCAAGGCCGTGTGGGGAGCCTGAGATAAATCCAGGTCTCCCGCGTGGGGAGTGGAACCCACCCCTTGCATCACTGCCTTGCCGCCTCTGGGAACAGGAGTGCAGACGATCTGAAGCCAGTCACTCCAGTGTGGGATTCAAGACAGAAGAGACATGGGAGGTGAACCTGCAAAAAGGTCATGCAAAATTACTATCTGAATTTTAATTCTATTTTTCCATGATCTTTTCTTTTTTGGGTCTTGTTTTAAAGATTTATTTTTATTGGAAAATCAGATATACAGAGAGGAGGAGTGACAGAAAGGAAAATCTTCCATCTGATTATTCACTCCACAAGTGGCTACGATGGCTAGAGCTGAGCCAATCTGAAGCCAAGAACCAGGAGCTTCTTCTAGGTCTCCCACATGGGTACAGAGTACCAAGGCTGTTGGTCGTCCTCTACTGCTTTCCCAGACCACAAGCAGGGAGCTAGATGGGAAGTGGGGCCACTGGGACACAAACCAGCGCCCATAAGGAATCCTGGTGCATGCAAGACAAGGACTTTGGCCACTAGGCTACCGCACGGGATCCCATGACCTTTTCAAAGAACCCTCATATACTACATTGTATATAAGCAAATTACACTTACTCATTGGCAAACATCGAAGAAATTACAAAAGGATAACAACTATAATGCACATAAATGTGTGACATTTATTTTTAAGAGTTATCCTTTTACTTTAAAGTCAGTTACGGAGAGAAAGGGAAAGACAGAGAGATGCTTCATCTGGGTCTTGTACATGGGTAGCAAGAGCCCAAGCACTCTGACTATCTTCGGTGACTTTCCCAGCCCATTTCCAGGGTGCTGGATTGGAAGTATAGCATCCACAATCAAAACTGTACATGTGTGGGATGTTGACATTGCAACTGATGGCTTAACCCACTGTGCCATAATGCTGAGCCTAATGTGTGGTGCTTTTTTTTTTTTTAATCTCCTGTATCTCGTTGAAGTGGAGGGGCACGGGGGAAGTAAAGGGAGAAGCTAAACCCAGCCTCCCAAATGCGTCCGGACACAGGGATGGGGAATGGCCAACTGATGTCATCCCAAGGCCCCCGATGTGGAGGATGCTCAGAGGGTTCTGTGTAAGTGGTCTCGATGATTCTGAAATGCCGTCAGTCCTGCTGATCTAAGGATAAGGAAATCATTTCAAGGTCCACTGGCTGACAAAGTCCACCTTAGAGTCTCCATCTTCCAGATATTTGCTTGGCTGGGAGAGTTGTCCCATTTATTCTGCCCTCCTTCCTCCTGTGTTGTACTTTTAAAAAAAATACTTCTAAAAAATGTTATTTGTCTAATAAATAAATTATGCATTTCCCTCAATTGTTAAAAGAGGAATACAAAGAAATACTATTTGTTGCCCAGATTCTGAAACTACTGATAGTCTTAATATATTTTTCATTTTAGGATGAAAATAACACATAGTAATCATCATTATTTATAGTTATCAATTCTAGATTTCTGTTACTTTTTTTAAAATCCTAAATTGAAACATTTCATGCTGTTTTCACTAGATTTAAGATAATGGATTTCTTTTCAGTAAGGCAGTTGATAAAAATTTGTGATTTGTTATGTTAAAAATTTAGGGTTTTGAACTTTGGACCTCTATCCACTCTTTTTAAAAAATTGAAGCTACTGGAAACAAATGCTACCAATTCTGCTTTGGCAATGCCTGAAGCAGTTCTGGGCAGCACCTTCCCATTGGGCTCCTGGCCCACCTCCTCTGCCCGCCTTTGCAGGCCCACGTCTGCCAAGAGCCATGCCTTCCTGTCATATGTTTCAAACACTGGTCTCTGTAACTTCACACCACACTCTTTGCCATGTCCGTATTACAGACTTTAATAACAAACCAGCATGTGTGCCGCAGAGATGGGAGGCAATTATATGGTTGACTTAGGTCCTGAAGTTCGTTTTATCAGACACAGTGTTAACTTGCAGGAAGAAGGCCTCCACAGAATCCCAATCTTTGTTCCCAGAGTGTCCAGTTGATAGCGAGCAAGTCGCTGATCTCTAGCCTCCATTTCATCATCTGTAATGTGCACATCTTATAGCACATTATCAACCATTGCATAACAAACCTGCTCCAAAAAGTAGTGCCTTTTAAGCAACAACTTGTTTTTCTCAGGACTTCGTGAGTTGGCAATTTCAGTTGTGTTTGGCCCCCACTGTGTTTCTGATTAGAAACATGGCAATGGCCTGGAAAGCCCACTCCCAAGGCAGCTTCTCCACACGGCTGGCTGCCCTGTCCTCGGCCGCTCTCTCTTAGCATCCGTATGACCTCTCACCCCACAGAGTCCTTCCTCCTAGTGTTTCCCACAGTGTGGTTTCCTGAGAACAGTTACTTCTGTCCTACAAGGCTGCTGGCTTCCAGGAAGTCAGATCAGATGCAAGAAGTACTGGGTAGGAGCAGCATGCAGCAGACTCCGAGCCATGTCGGCTGTCTTCTGTTCGGAGCACTTTAACAGACTCATGTAGATTCAGCCCTGGAGAGATGGGCTCTGTTTCTTCATGAGGGGATGGCAAGGTCTTTGACGAACCTGTGGCTGTGCCTGTAGATCTTTAACTCCCTCTCTGGGAAGGAAAAAAATCTGTGCATGTGTACATGGTCACTACAAGACTAAAATTCATTGAAGTTAAAGGATGTGTAGTACCTAATTTAGAATTGTGTGGTTTTGTCCCTGTTGATTTTCATAGAATGTGTTCATTGATTTTTGCCAAAGTCTTGCAACCTACAATTGCAAATAATTTTTTTTCTTATTTTTGCTTGAGTCTCCTTTGATGATACTATGTTTCTGCACTGTACCAGACTGTCTGTAAATATAAATGAAAGAATTAAGTCACAAACATTAACTTAAAAACTTGTTCTTTTCAAAAGCCTCATAGTAATAATAATAGCATCTAATTGGGGACTTTACAGTGTATAAGGCACATTCAAACATGCTCCTGTGTAATTGCTAGTGTTGCGAGGGATGGGGATGGGAAATGGAGACTTTGCAGCCATGTGATTCACAGAGGGCACACACAGAGCCAGTGCTAGAATTGAGGTCTTCTGCCAGCAACTGTGCTCCCTTTTCCCTCCTCTACTGAACCCTTACCTTTGGAAAACAAATTTAAGTGGATATAGAGACAGGATTCTCTGCCATTATTCAATTTAAAATGCCTCCTTTTTATAGGCATTTGGCACAACAATTAAGATGCAGCCTGAGACACCTGCCTCTCCTATCAGAGCAGGCGAGTTTGAATCTTGGCAGTCAGCAGGTGATAGCTCAAGCGCAAGGGTGACTGCCACGCACCTGGGAGACTTAGCAGGAGCTACAGGCTTCTGGTTTAGTTCTGGCCCAAGTCCAGCACTTAGAGCTACTTAAAAACTGACTCAGCAGATGGAAGATCAATCGGTTTCTCTTTCCCGCTTTCTCGATAATGTGAACTAGAAATAAATAACTAAAAATATTCTTAAAATACTTCCCTTAGGAAAAAAGTTGTCAAACTTGGTTGGCAGGTGGGGTAGGGCATCTTTACTGTTTCAGCTTCTGATCCTAGACATCAGTTTTCAGAGCAAGCAAAGCAGTCTCGCTGTGAGTCTGAGAGGTGAGATGAGCTCTGTAGCCCAATCTTCGGAGCTTCAGACTGGCACACAGCTCTCTGCCTGTGCCCCCTCCTTCAGACCTCCGTAGCAAGAAAGATGGTCCTAATTCCTGTACCCACAGAAACTGCAGGAACATGTAAGAGGAAGAGAAACAATCAGATACACAGGATTCAAATACAGCCTTCTGACAAGTGCTCGAGATAAACTTGGGGACTATGGCGTGGTGCTTAGCAATGGGAGAGAATCAAGGAGAGGTCCTGGGGCCCCTTTCCATCTTTCCTTTTCTAAAATTCATTATTTCCTACCCACAAAGTGGATGTTCTTATCTCTCTCGGAGACGTTCCTCTGTATTGTGTCTGTGTTTTTTCTGAAGAGTCCATTTGCATAGAGGTCAAGGGCGACAGTATACATATTTTTTCTGTTTTTTACATGTAGAAGATTTAGGAAATAAAAATATACAGAACATAGAAACCAACACCCATATGATTCTGGCCCTGTTGTTTATCAGATAGCTAACGTTAAATTCTGATGTGTTTCAAGTTTCTCAGCTCCTTGGCTAAATGGCAGATACAAACCTTCCCACATCAAACAGGGCACAGAGCATGCTCTTTACATAGCAATGGTGTTCTGTTAATATTTTCTTTGAGTTGCTTTCAGTGCTGGCTTGAGAAATTTTAATTTCTGTTTATCTAAACTTTCCATATTAAAGAATAAACAGCCACTGACTTCTCTGCGGCCTGTAGCAGCTGGTCAAAGGCGTGTTCTCATGGGTGGTACTAAATGCAGGGCAGTCACAGGACAACACTACTATTTCTCATAAAATCTCCGAACCTGCACTTTTTCTCATGGTCATTGGAGGGGGGGTACACTATGGGTGACTCCTAGATCTGGCCTCAGGATGAGTAGAACAAAGACCCCCTTGTCTCCTCGGCTGCAGACCCCCAGCGGGGAGTCCACCCTGATTTTAGTCTGGCTTTGCAGATTTGAGTCTCCCTTACCTGAAATGCTTGGGACTAGATACATTTCAGGTTTCTGGTTTTATAATATTTGCATATATGCATAATAAAATATTTTGGAGATGGGATGTCAATACATGCAGTTTACGTGTGTGCCATGAACAAGTGTAACCTGAAAGTATTTTTATATGAAATTTGTCCTTCACTTACACTTTCACTGACGCATCACATTAGGACGGGTGTGGAATTTTCCTTTAGTGGTGTGGTGTTGGCACTCAGAAATTTAAATTTTGTAGCATTTCAGACTTTTAGATGAGGAATGTTCAGCCTGTAGTACCATATATGTGTTATGCCACTGCCTGGTAAAAGTCAGGAATCCTTTTATATCTACAAGAATTTAAGAGACTGTTCATTGTTGTTGTATGTATTGGAGAAACATATGACTGAAATAACAAATCTGTTTATGTTTTCCCATTCAGGCAGCAATAAGGAAAGAACTAAATGAATTTAAAAGCACAGAAATGGAAGTTCATGAAGAGAGTCGACAGTTTACAAGGTAGGTATACAAAGTCTAGTTTGGCATACTGAAATGCTTAAGGTAGTAAATTTTTTGTGACACTGTTAACCCCACCTGAAAAGTTATTAAATTATGGGTTAACATGTACCTATCCACTGACCTTTGTAGCTTCTCTCACATCCGCATTATGAGTATTGCACATGCTGACTTGCAAGCTAATATTAAATATGGCTATTTAAAGAATACAACTAGTGACCAACATTGTGATATGGGATGCTAATGAGTGACTTAGCCCATTTCCAATCCAGCGTCGTGTTAATGTAGCTAAGAGGCAGTGGATGAAAGCTACAGTGCTTGAACCACTGCCATCTATGTAGGGGACGTGGATGGATGTCATGGTTCCTGTCTTTGGCCTGCCCCAGCCCTGCTGTTGTAGACAGTTGGATTGAATCAGCTGAAGGAAAATCTCTCCCTCTCCTCTTAGTTCCTTTCTCTCTGATGCTGGCTGCTTTAAAACAAGTAAGCTTCTAAGTAAAATAAAGATATAGACTAGAGAAGATGATTAACTTCCAGAATTTCATAATGAGCTCAGATAGCTCTTTTAAGAACAGTAAGATGAATCATGCTGAAGAAGAATTTCTAAAATTATTTTTTATTTCTTTCAAGGAAATTTGAATCATTGCAAAGGGAAGCATTTGGTTCTTTTCTTAGTTTCATATTCTGGGCCAGAAGTATCAACAAAATTTATATCATAGTTGAACACACTCTTGAAGTTGTATTACCAGAACAGATGCCAGCAAGAGTTAGTGTGGGCACATGTGTGTTGCTTTGGGCACATACAGCTTAGGTTAGAAGCCCAATTATCGGAAGATAAAACTTAGAGGAATCTAATTTGCTGATACTACACAAGATCACAGCAATTTATCGTGTTTCCTCCTGGTAACCTTTAGTTTCACAGGCTACTAAAACCAGAAGGGAACCATGGGACCACATTATCTAGCTGTCACATCACGGATGTTGTTTATTTCAGTCCCACAATTGTGTAACAGGTGTGTTCCTAAAAATTTGAATGGGGCATAAGTTTCACCTAGCAGTTGAGGTACTCAGCTCTCTGTTTAGAGTCCTCAGTTCAGTGCCTGGCCCTAGCTGTTGACTCCAGTTATCTGCTATTGCACTTTGCAGACAGCAGGGATGACTCAAATGATTGAATTCCTGCCACCCACTGGGGAGACTTGGATTGAATTACCACCTCCCAGCTTTAACCCGACTCTGCCCTGGCTTTGTAGGCTTTTGGACGGGGGCGGGGGGAGGGGGGTGTGAGGGGGAATAAGCTGATAGGTACTCTGTCTATATATTTCATTCAGATTAAGGAACCCTTGAAAGGCTTTTTTTTTTTTAATGACAGACTTACAGAGGGGAGAGGCATAGAGAGAGACAGAGAGAGAGAGAGAGCTTTCATCTCCTGGTTCACTCCCCAAATGGTTGCAACAACCAAAGCTGGGCCAGTCCAAAGCCAGGAGCTTCTTTCAGGTCTTCAAAGTGGGTGCAGGGGCCCAAGCTCTTGAAGTGAGTCTCTGCTGCTTTCCCAGGCCATTATCAGGGTGCTGGATCTAAGAGAAGCAGTTGGGACTAAAACTAGCATTGCTATGAGTTGTTGGTGCTTCAGGCACAGGTTTAACTTGCTATCCCACAGTGCTGGCCCCAAACCTTTTAATTATTTAATGATATTTTGTTTAAATTTTTGCTCTTTCAAATATGTCTAGATTTAAATTTTTTATTTTTTTTCTTGTGTCTTATGGGGAGAAGCCACTATTGCAAAATAACTATTTAGTTATAAATTTTTTTATCATTTTATTTATTTGAGAGGCAGTGTGAAAGAAAGAGAGAGCTCCCATCTGCTGGCTCCCTCCCCAGCTGACCACAACAGACAGTTGGAACAGGGTATGAGCTGGGACCAGGAACACAACCCAGGAGTCACATGGGTAGCAAGAACTCGATTGCTAGGGTCTACATTATCAGGAACTGGAATCAAGGACTTCTAGGTGCTGCATTCTAGAGCAGGAGAGCACCCGGGTTGAATCTTGACTACCCCATTCTTTTCCAACTTCCTGCTCACACCAAGCTTAGGAGGCAGCGGATGACGGCCTCAGTACTGGGGTCCTTGCCATCCACCTGGACACCTGGATTGAGTTCCCAGCCTCTGGCTTCATTCTAGTACCATCCCTGGCTGCTATGGTCATGTGGGGAATGGATTAGAAAATGGAATGTCTCTCCAACTGTCTCTCTGCCTATCAAATGCCTGAAAATATTTTTTTTAATTTTAAAGAAAGCATTTGTAGTACATTTTTATATATGATTATGATAGAGTATAGTTTGACCTGCCAAATTCTATTTGCTGTTTTTCTATATTCATATATCTTGAATATTGAGAATTAGAATATACTTGCTATGTTTCACAAAACAGCGTATCAGTATCTTCCTTGTTTAAATAAATATTAATAGATAGACATAGGTAAACTTGGGGGAGTAGTAGCTAATATTAAGGGTAAACTTTAAAAGTTTTCCAAAAGATATTGATTAGGACTCTCTAAAATGTCTCTCCAGATAAGGAAAAATTAAATATTCATAATACTAAATACGGCCTGTTTAAGTATTCTTAAAAACTTGGCAATAAGGCAAACAGCCACTGTTGTTTTCCCATTAATTTCTATGACATCATTAGAGTTGCATTCCAGTCGACAAATATTTTTGGCCCTGGGACATAAACATGATGCTTATGATTTTCAATTGTCTTCAGTATTTTCTCTTAAGTGGTAGAAGTTTTGGCAAACACTACTCTTTCTAATCCAAGCACTATGAAACTAAGCTAACATTTTGCAATCAGAAAATGACTCATGTAACAGATAGTGGTTCTGTTAGCAGCTGCCACTCTTGGGGAGCGTAAACGCCCTATGAATTAACGCCCATCCCCTGAAATGCAACCTGAATATGCAGCAGCCCTCCTTACTAGCATGAGACATAATCTTTCCTTCAAAATTCAAGTCCACTGACTCCCTGAGGATGTGGAGTGGTTAATAAAGGGGTTGAGACAGCCCAGCTCTCTCTGCTGTGGAGATGGCACTTGTCTGCTGATGAACACTAGAAGCATCTGTTTTCATGTGGCACTTGCTTCGCGTTGGCATCTCTGCAGGGATTCACAAAAGGCTGGCTGCTTTTTTTTTTCTTAAAGATTTATTTATTTTTATTGCAAAGTCAGATGTAAAGAGAGGAGGAGAGACAGAGAGGAAGATCTTCCATCCGATGATTCACTCCCCAAGTGAGTGCAATGGCTGGTGCTTCGCCGAAGCCGGGAAACAGGGACTTCTTCCAGGTCTCCCACACGGGCGCAGGGTCCCAAAGCTTTGGGCCGTCCTCAACTGCTTTCCCAGGCCACAAGCAGGGAGCTGGATGGGAAGTGGAGCTGCCGGGATTAGAACTGGCGCCCATATGGGATCCTGGCACGTTCAAGGCGAGGACTTTAGCCACTAGGCCACGGCGCCAGGCCCATGGGTTGGCTGCTTTGGTTGCCTCTGATGAGGAGAACTGATAAGAATGGTCTCAGCACAGGAAGGAAGATTTTTCTCAACTTATCTTTTGTAACAAAACCTTAGAACCTATTATGTAGTTCTATGCAGACATTTAAAAGAAAAACAAAGCAATTCATTCCTTAAGTCTCTGTTCACATAAATGAGGAGTCCAATGTGGCAACTTCTGTTAAATAAGGTACTGGCCTTGATACTGTGACACTCCCATTTTTTGTGCAAGAAGTGGACACTCGTGACACCCCATCATGAAGTATTTCCTGAAACATGGTGGATCTGCTCAGATGAAGCATCTCAGTTATCTAAGTGAATCCAAGTTCACAGTGTCTCCCAGAATTTTCTGAGCATTCTCTGAAATTAGAATGCGTTCCAGGGATTTGCAACAACCGTGGGGACAAGTGATTTCCCACAGGAATCCATCCTGTGGCAGAGAACTTGATGATTATCTTGTCACATTCTGTCTTGTCAGCTCTCCTTCCCTTGACCACTGCTCAAGTTCCTTTGAAAAACTGTATAGACACAAGTAGGCTCATTGAGTTCGTGAAGGAGACCACCAAGCAAACAAAGACACTTCTTTTTGAGTTGCAAATAAAATTTGTACAAGATAAAGTAGCTCTATAAATTTCAAAAAAAAGTCGCATGAAAGGTCAAATTTTTAAAGCTGTATTTAAAAATTGTTAGGGCTAAATGGTAAGATTATAATTTTAATCTTGTAGATAGTCTTGCAACTTTTAAGTGTTAAATTGTATCAAATTTAATGTTACTAAAGATAAACTTAAGTTTGTAAATCATAGCATTTTTAGAATGCGCAAAGTTCTTTTATGTATAACCTTATAATCATATAAATTGTCTGCTTACTATATTAAGAGACATATTAGAGACTCATAGAATCATTAACTGAAATTTTTGCAGCTATAATGGCCCCCATGTGATCATTCACATAATGCCGAATGGAAAATCATAATATTGTCTAAATATGCCTATTGCAGTGGTATTTTTACTTAAAATTCAAATACATAGAAAAATATTATGAAATTACATTAAAACTCATTGATTTACAGAAATTATTTTTAAGATTTTTATTTACTTGAAATAAAGAGTTACAGAGAGAAGGAGTGACAAAAAGAGAGATCTTCCATCTACTGGCTCACTCCCCAAATGTCTGCAATAACCAGAGCTAAGTCGGCTGAAGCCAGGAGCTTTATCCGGTCTCCCTGCTGGGTAGCAGGAACCCAGCTATCCTCCACTCCATTTTTAAGTGCATTACAAGAAAGTGGATTTTGGAATTGGAGCTGCCAGAATTGGAACTTACCTATAGCAGTTAAGATGCTGCTGTTGCAGGAATCAGCTTAATTTACTAAGTCACAATGCTAGCCCCTATGTTCTTATTTTCTCTACTCTTCAAATGTTCTTAATGTGGTTATGTTGCGATTGGGACACATGCCTATGCACATAGCCACATACTTGAGTATATAGCAGAAAGTGTGTAGAAAATTGAATTAGAAGACAAATTTATTTTAGTGCAAAAATATTGCTATTTCTACATTCAAGATATCCAAAATGTTCATGAAAATGTGTATTATGAAAAAATTACTCATAGATTTCCATTTTCTCCCACTTAAAAAGAAAAACCCTTTTCTTTTAATTCTACTCTCCATGGATTTTCTAAAGTCCTCTTGTAATTATTTGTAAGCAGTGATTTCATTCTGTGCCTTCCTGAGTTAATTCTATCATATGTGGATTTACAATACAAACTACACTTTGGGCTCCTAGATGGCTTATCAAAATGTGACATGGCAGAAATTCTAGTTGGAACATTAATGGAGATTAAAAGTCTTCCCCCAGAGGAATGTGAAGGCAGCTTCTGTCTGGTGCTATCTTTCCTGGATGCTCCACTGACTTGATATGTGGACAGAAATGAAAAGGAGTTGCAGGATGCTGTTGTGATTCTCAAGAGAGAAAAACCTATCTTAGTGCTGAGGATGCTAACAGCCTGGCCAGCAAGTGGTTTGGCCTCTTCATCCAGTAGAGGGCAAGACCATTTGGATGCTGACAAATCATTCATGCCCTGTACCATATTGTCAGCTGAGAAATTAGCCTGCTGTGCACTTATTGAATTTTGAGTCCCACTAAGGTTGCCTTGGCAATGCCCAACCAAATGATTCTACCAGCCTTATCCAGCCCAAATGTCACTATGCCCAACTCCTGAGAGAGTCTGTCTATGTTTAACACAAGTGGATCAGGGTTATAACAATGCACATCCCTTTAGAAGGGGAAATAAATTATCCAGGTTTTCTACATATGTCAAGTAGGGAAGCCTGGAAAAGCAGAAATTTACATATGATTCTATAATGTTAGGTTGAATTTACAGGAAGATGAATAAATATTTAGAGATTGCAACCCATCTTTATGGAAATAGTTATCCTACATAAGTTCTGTGACTTTAACAATAGCTTTTGTTTCTCCATTCACTCCCTCTCAACAGTATAAGAAATAATGAAAAAAAATGTAGTACAGTTTTCAAAAGAAGATGAAAATTTGAGTCTTAGGGAAGTTCTGAAAAGAGGGTGAATGAGAAGCTTAAGGATCCTGGGGTATAGTGAATCTATTTATTGCTCCACCAACTTGCAGCCTACAGCCAAAACTGTCATCCTGTCACACAGGCAGACTTCTCAGGAGCTAAAGCTGAACTTCGCATGTTTTCAAATGAATGCAAACCACCGAGTGGGAGCTAAAGACCTATTTGCATTTTCAGAACTTCTAACTATAAAATGTTTAGGAGTGATAAAATGCCCAATTTAAACAGGCTATAAATGCCCTTTTCTAATGGAACTGAGCAAGAAATATACCGGGTACTTGTTTGGGGGTGTTTTTGTTTTGTTTTAACCAAAAACTGAGCAGTCTGTGTTAAGCCAAAACTGGAAACTGAGAGCTCTCTGAACTAAAAGTGTTTACTTATTGGGGCAGGCATTCAGCCAAGCAGTACAGAGGCTGGTTAAGACTCCTGCATCCTGTATCAGAAGCCCTGGCCTCAAGTCCCCATTCCACTCTTAACTCGAGCTAACCACTTGTAGGGATGTTAGGAAGCAGAAACTGTAGCTCCAATAATGCTCTGCCATGTACACAACCTGGACTGAGCTCTCACCTGTTGGCCTTGGCCTGGGCAGAGAACCAGCAGAAGGGAGCTTGCTTTGTCTCTAAAGCAAAGAAAAATGTAAAAGGGTTCCTTGTGCCCTTTCAGATGCTAGCTCGACAGGACTACCTGAGACAAGTTCCAGATCATCAGCATCAAAAAGAGGTTGTTGGGAAATTCTCTACCAGAGCCAGAGCTAAGAATATTTGTTCAGAACTTATACGGAGAAAACAAGAAATTATTTCCATTGAACATACATTGGCTATAGATAAAAGGGGTAGAACAATAGATGGGATGGGAAAGAGGAAACCAGAGGGCTATCTATAGGTACTTGTTGCTTCTGGACTGGCTGGGGAATAGTCTGAAAAGCTTCTATGTAAACAAACCACATGTTTCAATGTACATGGAGGAACATGAAAGTATCTTTTTTTGTGGTAAGTTCACCTCTGCTGCCTCCCAGGGTACACATTATCAAGGAGCCAGGTCTCAAACCCAGGCCCTTTGATACCTAAATTGCCAAGCAGTACCCTAACCACCACACCACATGCCTGCTAAGGACACTTTGAAACTCCATTGGGAGTACCTAGTTTGAGTCCTTATTCCTCCGCTTCTAATCCTGCTTCCTGCTGGTCTGTACACTGGAGGCAGCAAGGATGACTCCATGTTTGGGTCTCAATGATAGAAGAGTTCTGTCTCTTTTTCTCTACTGCCTTTCAGATAAAATGAAAAGAGATGTTTTTAGAACATTTTTAAAATTTAGTCAAATTTTTTAAAAGCAACATGTTACAAACAGGACAGATTTTGACCTTGACCTTTGGAAAGAAAGCATAGATGGGAAAGTGAAGGGTGAGAATTCTTGTATTAAGGGACAACATGTCCAAAGGAGTGATAAAAATGCAAGGAATATTCAGGCACTGGCACAGAGAGGAAAGAAGCTGAAAGGCTGGCTGGCAATTAGAACATTTAAGTGGTGCCAACACAAGGTGGCGAGGGGTTTAATGATTCAAGTACAGGCAACCAACGCTGCATTAGATGACTAATGTGAACCATAGGGTGAAGGAGAGAAGCAAATTGCAAATCTGGGGCTTGTAGACTAAAAGCATTCTTAGAAGTGGAAGATTAAATGAAATAGAAAATGCAATGGCAAATTAACTAGAAAAAACTTTAGCTGGTTGTGGACATGCTTAATATGTGGACCATCTGGACAAAAACACACAACAGGTGTTTGGAAAATCAGGTGTGAAAAGTAGATGGCATCATCAGGAGGAATGGCACGAGGCTGAAACTAAACAAGGGTGGCTATTTGTCATTTTCTTCACGGAACATCTCATTCTGCTCGCCAGGAGTTAGAACGTGACCCTTAAGATCAGCAATGTTCTTGTCTTGGTGGCTTAATAACCCGAATGATACAACCAGCATTTTCCACAGAAGGGTTCTCTCTGCTGTCCAACATCACATGTCCGAGGAAACTCAAAAATGTTCTTGTAAAATTTGAATTAAAAGGTAAATTTATTTTGGTGCAAAAATGCTTGAAATTCATACTTATTTTTTTAATGATTCAGTCACTCTGGTAAAGAGTGATACTACTTTTTTTTAAATACATATTTTTATTTGAAAAATAGATTTACAGCAATAAAAGGAGAGGCAGAGAGAAATCTTCCAACTACTGGTTCACTGCACAAACAGCTGCATCAGCCAGAGCTAGGCCAGTCCAAAGTAGAAGCTAGGAGCTTCTTCCATGTCTCCCACATGGGTGCAGGGGTCCAGGGAATTGGGCCATCTGCTCCTGCTTTCCCAAGCACGTTAGCAGGTAGTTGGATTAGCTGTGGAACAGTCAGGAATCAAACAGATGCCCATAAAGGTACTGATGGAAGCTGGTCCTTCTACACCCTGGTGCCTGCCCCAGGGCTTGTTTTTGTTTGCTTGTTTTACATCAAATGAATGTAACATTTAATTTCATTTTGTATAGATTTTTTAAACTGCCTTCACATAACCACAGCTTATTCCAGTAACTCAGTGTGGGGTTGCCTAAGCAGCCTTTCATTGTAAACCTTGCCATGCCTCCATTTTCCAGGTATGGAGTGTGTTCTTTGACTGTAGGCTTACAGCACTGTATTTCCTATTCCAGGTTTCATCGCCCTTAATGAAGTGGAAGCCTGGATTGATCATCTTTGGCGGGAGCTCTGCTTCCTAGAAACCCAAAGTTGCACTGGGACTTGAATGTGTGTGTTTCCGTTTAGCTTGTGGTGAAGGAAGCACGTGACTCAGCCTTGTTCGAAAGAGTGCTTCACCTGTACAGCCCAAGTGGGACTGACGAGCCAAGGAAAAGATGCTGTGACTCTTGCCTGTTAAAATGCGTACTGATGCTAAGGGACACCAGTTATTCCTTGTCGGGAGCTTCAATCAAAGAAAAGAGCAGAAGACAATCGCTGGCTTCCTATATTAGCCGCAAGCCAAATCGTATAGTGCAAGTTCAGGACCAATGGTGATTGGAATTGCTGAGCACTGGAAAGGGGTAGGAATTGAAAATTGAAAAAAGAAAAAGAGAAGTATTTCATTATGTTAATGAAGAAAAGAGAAAATGGAGGAGAAAATATTTTTTGAAGAGGCTATTTGGTAATTGAAAACTTATTAAGGGGGTTGGGAATCCAGTCACCCAATGAGGATTCCTTGACTTGATCCTACAAAACTACTCTTGCTTCACCACTACGTTGGTACAGTATGCTACCACTATTTTATGTTGTGCCAGTGAATCCAGTTGCCAGAATGAAGTCTGAATGTTTCATGCATCTTTTTTCATAAATGCGGAAGACTTCTCTGGACTCTTAGCAAGCATGCTCATCCAAATTTTGTTGCATGCTTTAAGTAGCATAGCTCCACACGCCTGGCATTTTTTATATTCTTTTCTTAGTGTATCGATAAAGCTGCCACAGGATAACAGGACTGGGAATAAAGTCAGATGTCATATGACCCTGTAAAATGTAGCAGGCTTCAAAAATAAATCTTTTAGCCTTTTCCTATCTTGCTACAAAGTCAGAGCAACTGCATTTGACTCGGAGGAGACAATCTCAACAATCATGACATCTTATTTCAAAACCTGACTCCAAAGTACCAAATGTTCTGCCCAGCGCCAGTTCTGAGTAGCAGTGCAAAGAGCCATTCACTACTGCATTAGCAAAAGTTTGGCTGCTGCTGTTAGAAGGAAATAAAGCATGTGGTTCTAAAACTACTCATCCAAAAGCTTAAAAGAATACAGAAAATTTCTGTTACATGTGAGAAAAACCTCCTCTTCTTTCCTAAAAGTCATGAGATTGCATCCATAAGCACAGTAATTGCTTTTAGTGCAAAAGAATCATTGGGATAAAGTTATAAAATATTTCCCTGCGAGCCTATAGTCAGCATTGTTTACATTAAGAAACTGTTATTGAAATGTTATTTTTCCACGGAGTCAGAGGCACAGTATGATTTCTGCTCCCAAGTACGTATGGCCATATGTAAGTATACTGCCTGTCATTTAACTATTCTTTCATGATTATTTTGTGCCTCTTTTACTAAAAACACATGAAAGAGATAAAAAGATAATACCTAAATAGATTTTTATTGTATTCTAAAAGCTTGGAGTAGAATTTTCTATGGTGTTTCTCATCCACAATAATAGAAGACAATAATTTCCTGTCCCAACCCAAAAGGCCCATTTAATCTGATGGACAAATTTAGATCCTACTGCTTATTAATATTTTGTAGTACCATGGAAACCTGGTAATGAAAAGTTAATCTGTTCTAGAAAATGTGGGGCCATTTTTATAACTAAGAAAGCAAACAGCATTACACCTGTTGTTCCATTCAGCCTTATGCATTGGTCAAAACTATCATATGTTCTTCAGTGTTATTTCACTGACAGAGTTAGATATATTTTTATTTTGAACGCTTCTTTTCTAACTGTCCAAGTGTCTGTACCTGGCTGAGGTTTTATGTGTTTATAGTGTTTCAGTACAACCATAAAAATTACAGTTGGTCTAATTATTTTTCCAAAATCATCCTTTTCCTTACACTATTTCATTATCACTTAAGTGTCATAAAAAAGTGCCAAGGGAACAATTTTTTGTTTCATTTGTATGCTTAAAATCTTTTGAGCTTTTTTTAAATTTCTAATCACAAGCTCTGTATGTAATGGTAAATATAAGATGTTATCAAGATACATATTTTAGAAAATTTTTATTTGGTTGATCAAAGGAACAATATTTTCATGTTAGTGGTGGAAATGATGTAATTGTTTAGCGTTCTATGAAATATAGCCAGTAAAAAAATAAAGATCCAATACTTCAAAAGTTCCGTATAAAATGGAAATAAAAGATTTTGCTATCCACACAACTGAAGGATTTTCAAAAAAGGCCATGAAACTGCTTAGTATCAAAAATTATACATGAGATTTTTTAATTGGCAGTAAAATATTCACATCTTTTAATTTTATTTTTCATGAACTTTTTGAAGATCCTTTGTATTGTTTGCCTTGTATAAAGCAAAGATGCCTGATTTATCAAATACCCATACTTCTACATTATACTGATTGATAGGTAGAGAAAAATTTATGTTAGGAGGTTTAAAAGTCAAAAAAAATTAGTTAATGTTAATCTAATATTTGTGTAAGTGGAATAAGTTACTTTATCACAACCAGTTATTTTGTTAAAATGATCATGAAATAATCATCAAAGGCACAGGCACTGCTTGATGTGTTGTCTGTGACCCTGTGCCCGCCCCCTCTCCAGTCCACCCAGAAGTCAGCTCACTGGCCCTGGGAGAAAGCAAAAGCAGCAGATGCCGTCGTATCATTAAATCTCTGTGAATGGCCCATGTTGCTGCAGTCTCCCTGCTAAGCTTATGTCCCACAGAGACAATGTGTGTGGGAAGTGGATTAGTTGTGTGGTTTTCATCGAAACACCATTCTAGGTGTTTAAAGTGTGACATCAGATGACAAACAGCAAATGAGTGGGTTTTCCTGAATCTCCAAGATGGGATTGAGGATGAAAACAAACCGATCTCCAGGAAGGTCCCATGCAAGAAAAAAAAAAAAAAAGAACCTAGAAAGACTGTGAAAACTAATTCACCCTTTCCATCTCTGTTGTGAACGGAAGGAGGAAACCGCAGAGCTATTAAGAGAGTAAGTGGCTGCCCAATGGATTTTATCAGCATCTTCCTGATCATTACCAATCAATATGACAGAATTCATCCATGCAGATCAGTGGTGTTTTAAGACAGCTCGTGTACTAACGCTGTGTAAGTGAAGTGTCTAGTAGTTTTTCTGTTAGTCATAATTTTTCTTTATGTTAATCCTTAAACTTGTTTAACTGAAATCTACAATAGAGAATCATTTGGGCTTTTGAGCAGCTATTTTAAAGGGAGGGAAGAGCAAGCATTTCTATCCCTCTGACTTGCCATAAAAGCTGACCTTCTGGTTTCATCTTGATATCTTTTGTTGACATAGCAACTGTTTTTCAATCCACTAATAAATACATTTTGTTAGAAGAAAATTCTAAAATGTAAGTGAAAATATTTTAAGAGAATATAAGAATCTAATACACCCTTCCAAATTGCCACACTTGAAAACGAGATGAGTCTTTAAGTTCTCTAGCTCAGGTTTTACACTCTACAGTTTCAGTGCATCACTGGCTCATATGTTTAAACATGTAACAGCTTATACTTACAAGAGGAACATTAACTATGTTGCTACTACATGTCCTAATAGGTATCACATTATCACGCTAGTGGACACTTGTTTTACACTGTTAGAGTCACATGCATATGACTTTGGAAAATTATGCTGAATTCACAATAGGAGCAGCTGATCTTTTCTAGTACATAGTGGTGGTATGTCCATACTTCAATCGTTTTTGTGCTCTATTTTTCCTCTTTTGCTCACAGTTTCTTTAGTCTGCTAAATACTCCTTGTAGCAAACTTCACAGTGTAAGAGTTCATTCTCAGATGAGATGGAATGAAACCAGCTCAAGATACATTCATTTATGTGATTTTCCTCAAATATGGTAAGGCTTCCTAAAACCTAACCATATTGAGGCTATCATTACCAGTAAAAGTATGTACTTTCAGATAAGAATTAATTTCTTCAGGTCATAGAGTATGTTCTAAATCCTAAGGATCCATTTAGATACAATCCATCTACAAAATTGTCCCTTAGCGTCTTGAGATGGCTTATCTTCCACTATTGGATAATTTTCTCTATACTCATTGTACTTATATTGTTTTACTAGGCAAAACAGATGAGCTTCTACAACTAAAATATGTCCTAGAGGCAAAAAGCAATGGCAGAAGTAATCATCAAATTGATAGGAACATCTTTCCCTCAAGAAAGCTCATGTCCAGATTTAAACCCAAATTTCAAAAAGGAGCTAGGGCTCACCTATAAAAGCAAAAAGTGACCAAAAGGTGGTTGGATGATGATAGAATACTCCCAAACCATTCTTATGTTCACTTTGCATTTACATGCTGCAATCAGTAACTTTAAGGTTGGTGTAGAAATGCAGGTCACCATTAACACTTCTAGAAAGCAGCTGTAACATAAAAACCTATCCTTTTTAAAAGGCCAATTCATCCTCAAAACTCGCATTGTATGTATTGATTTTCTGGCAAAGAAATGGAAAGCCCACAGTAGCTATGTCCATCCAAAGCCAGCTCTTAGAAACAGTCATTTTCAACTGTGCTGGGATTTACTGCACACACACAGATGTCCCTTGGTTTGTCAAATTGTGAGCACAGCTGCATGTGTGAGCAGAGCGCTGTTGATCAATGTTTCTCAGTGGGGGTGCTGTTGGCATTATAGCCAGGAAATTCTTTGTTGTACAGAAATGTCCCACGCATTGCAAGATGTTTAATGTCCCAGGCCCCTGCTGACTAAATGCCAGCAGATTTTCCAGTCATTGTAAAAACCAACTGGGAAAAAACCTTCCCCCGGGTTCGATGCCCTTCCCTGGAGGGTGGTGCCCCCTTACCTGAATTCCACTCTCTCCTGCAGCTTGAGAATGCAAAGGAAAAGCATGTGCTCCAAAGCCTTGTCTCTCCTGCCTTGCATTTCACTGGATTTCAGGTAGCTTTACTTTGCCAGTTCTTCAGAGCAAAGAACACCAGGCAGCCTTGGAAATTGCAATGGGCATTATAACTTGTTCTGGTTGCTGGATGTATTTAAAGGACAAATTTCACATGAAGCAAGCTTTTCTGCCTTGATTTTTTACTTCAAGGCTCACAATTTCATTTCAGGACTACACTGTTGGTCAAAATCTCTGCCAATCTTTTAAGGGTTGTCGCAGGGGTTAAATAAACACAAACACAACTGCCGTAACATTCCACATAAGCAAACTACATGGTCTTTGGGAATCGCCTGTAGCTTTCACCTGGTGACAGCTGTGTTCCAGGAATCCCCAACGAATGGCATGTTTATCCGATTAATGGAGCATTTAATTCTCATGCAAAGGCTATGGTTTCCCTTGTACAAATATAGTCATGCGGTTCAAGTTTTCTAACAAGATTTTGCGTACTGCATTTTGAAGGAAATGTAGATTAACTACAGATTGCATGCATGTTGTTCATTCTTCCATAATGGTCACGCACAAAGTGAGATGTGCTGTACTTCTTGGAAATATTAAATTGTACCAATAAGGCAGAAACATCCTTAGTTTCTTTTTCTCTATCCCCAAAACTGAATAGTCAAGAGGTCTTGAAGTTACTTGGACAAATTGTAGCTAAAAGAAAAGAATTAATATAGTCACTGTAATTTAAAAAAATATATTTAAAATCCTAAGGGTTTTTATTTTTCAGGCACAGCAAAGCAGAATCAGTTAAGGTGATTACATTGTAAACTTACAGATGGTGCTGAAGAATTCTTTTTAAATAGCAGTATTTTTTTTTTAAGAGAATAAACTGAAAGGAGTAAATGAGGCAGAGTGCCACTCCACCCTCAGGTCAATTTTATGTTATATTAAGATGCCAATAATATTTGTACCACTTGCCAATTTGGGGGGCTTTTCCCTTCTTGGAAGCTTTCATTATACTTTGACTATTTGGTTGTTGCCACTGCAGCGCTCACTAGCATTTGGAAATTATCAGAATGAATCAAGGGTCAAACCACTTTCATCAATTAAAATGTAGGCACTAAGTTTTCTTTTTGTAAATTGTATGTGGTTTAGAAACATGTCAGTGTGTTCAAACCATCCTACACCAACTTCCACAGATTTAGTACCTGCTAAAAATTCTAACTACTCTTTTTTTTTTTTGCTATGTAAAATAGATTTTTAAGTAATGGGCCAAGTGTATTCTTTTGTAATTTCAATCTTCTGTAAAGTGACCAGGATTTAAGCTAGGGTCATTGTCAGACTGACTGAACAATTCCTGATTTCCAGTGAGAGATCTAGTCCTACATATTACACAGGTGTACTATCTGTGAGTGTAACTGGAACTGTACACTGATTAACATGACAATTACTTTTTTTATTCTTTATCTGTACTGTATGATATATAATATGTGAGTATAAATATCTACACACACATGTATATGTATTCCATTATTATACCCTGAAAGAAAGACTATGAATTATCTTTTTTTTATTCCATACTGGTGTTTGTGTTATTTAAAAAGCAAAATTATGCTCTTATCTAGTGGCATACCATAATAGGATACTTTGCTGTGCACAATTCCAAGTGCCTTAGAATATTGTTTAGCTTTCCTAAGTATATAGAGTGCATAAATGTGTAAAATTGAAAAAAAAATTACCTCAATAAAATCATTGGGAAATCCCTGGTTTTGGTTTGTTCGTATCTGTGCCATTCACGTGGAGTGTGCAGTCCTTCCAAGTCAGAAGTTAACAGGATCCTCAAACGTAATTCAGGAGTGGGACAGCTGTCTTAGTTGCCTATTGTTTCAGCTCTACTTAACCTTTCAGGTTTTTTTATACATAAAGATGTTTGCTTTGTGCTTTATCTTTAAAGAATTATTGCTTTTAATAACAGCTTATAGTATGTTTTTAAAATCTGCTATCTTTTATACTAGGGAGACTATTTTATATTCATGTTGTATTGACCTCATAATATATAAACGTGAGAGGTAGTCCCTAAAGAGTTTATGATGTAGAAAAAAAGACTGTCTCATTGTGTTTATTATGTAATGTTTTATAAGCAAAAAGAGAGGTGGGGCATATTTTGACCAGACAAGGAATACACTTCCTGTGTTTCTCAATATTAATTCTAAATAGAAGCTTTACTTTCCTTAACTTTAGGACAAGGTTGTAGATAGGAAAGCTGAAAAGCGATGTATGGACTGTTGTTCTAGACAGAAGACTTCAAACTGAGAAATATGGGAACCAAAAAATTAAAAGTAGCTTTGGAAACTGGGCCCATGGATGCTATTTAAAGTAATCAAGACATCTCCAAAGCAGGTGCAGGTGGTTATCACCATTTCAATTTTTTTTCTCAGACAAACCAGATTCTAAATTGAAACATTGCTTTCTGAAACCAAGTGCAAGTTAAGAAATGGACGATGTTCCACAGTGCACAAGGATTCGATGGTATCTGAGTCAGTGTGATTTTACTCTTTGCTGGACCTCAACCTAGATGTCCTTATGGAGTGGCTGCTGGTAACAGTGCTGCCCACAGACTACCTGGGTCATTACTCCGTGTAGGAGTTGTGAACTCTTTACCCATGAATCACAGGTCACTATAAGAGCAGATAAAATGTAGAGAAAAGCTATGTACCTTAAATTTGTGTGAAGGTGTTTTTGATTATGCAAGACATAATCAAAATTATGTAAAGCTTTGTAGGAAAAATCCCCAGATGCTAGCTTTTCTAAATAAATATCCCACGGAGGAGAGAACCAACATTTTGGTGCTCAGACCAATAGCCTGAGGATTTGACTCTGGATGATTTTTTTTTATCTTGGTACGTGTTATGGAGTACAGCCCGTGATGGTAGAAGTCTCTGTGAAGTCTCGCTTTATTGCTCCTTCACCTCTCCTTGTATTCTCTTCCCCCAACATTCTAATTTAGCCAGGATATTGGATACAGATGAGTCCAATTAGTCTAGGTGTTTTTACTACAAGCCAGGTCCTGTTCCTGCCCATTCCAAGGAGCACTAATCAACTCCTTAACCCACAACACTTAGGTATTCGCTCCTGCCCACGTGTGACTCATCTTTCAACTGAAAGGGGACGGTATTACACTGTTGTGTAACCACTCCCCTCACAAGTCCCTTTAAAGGGGCTGGTGAAGTGGGGGCTCACTCTCTTTCTGGTCAGATGCTTCTATTAACTCTGGCACCTCAACTCTTGGCTGACCCAGAACAGGTAATCCCCTGAATATGGTCCTTGTGTAATGCTTAGATTGGACAATAGATATAGTAATGTTGTTTCTGGTCTGTGTACTATCAGGAGTTCCAGGAGAGGTGAGGCCTAGCAGTAGTGTAATGTGGGCAGAGAAGCCAGGGAAAGGTGAATGTCTGCAGCTTTGTGTGTCCAGGTTATTTGTTGCATGTCTCTTAGGGTAACTTGTATTGTTGGGGAAGCTGGGACATGATTGGTTGGATTGCCATATGAACTTGTGATTTGCTATTTCTAAGTATGCTTTATTATCACCAAGCTTGGTTAATAAAGACTCCCTAATAAAACATTAGATATGTCTGGTGTGATCTCACTCACACCCCGTACCAGTAAACTCATCAGACAAATCAGTTTAGGAGCCCTCAACATGAACAGGAGTTTGCTTGTTATTCATCCAACTACTCAGCAAACTGAAGTGACCAGTCTTTTCTCACACTTTACATGCCCCCTTTAGTTCAGTCCTTGATGACTTCTGAAATCTTTATTACTAGTTGTCAGTCTTCCACAACTGACCCTGTCTGGGTTCTGCTTACCTCAGTCCTATAGGAAACCTTTACATCAGTTCTTTCCAGAATTTTCTAGTAAGTTCCCTCTTCCTACTGAAGAGTTCCCAAGAATTTCTGAAGTCAAACTGTACCCAGTTCCAAACAGCTCTCCTTATAATCCTCATTTGGATCAACTCAAATGAACCATGCCATTCCCCAAATACATTACTCATTCTGTATCATAACTGTGTTTAACCCATGCCCTCCAAATGGAGTTCTTTATGTGTCAACATTCCACACGTAATCCAAATGTCTTCGCCAGCTTTGCATTGTCATTTCTTTATAACATTTCTTTAAACAGACTACATATAAGCAAATTTAAAGAATGTGGTTTTCTCTGTAAGAACTTCAAATGTCAAGTGTGACCTGCATGCATTTAACAGTTGAAGCTGATACAAACATTGTGATTCAAATTTTCTTAAATATTTTTGAATTATTTACCATTGTAAAGATATGACCATATTTTTTTACTTCAAAAAGATAAAATTAGTTAAAATCACATGATTGGGTCAGATTCTAAAATAGTTTTTTAATTACAAACACTTTCAAGCCAAATAGATTGTAGTTTGTCACATTAGCTATAATACATACTTAAGCATAACACAAAAGTGTTACATATGAGGGGCTGAAGGGTTCCAAACACAAAGAAAAGATAAAAATGGAAAAATTAGTTCTCTGGTTTGAGTTGCTTATCTGTATATGGAAATATCACTCTGTAATTCCAAAAATGGACACATTGCATGTTAGAATTTTTAAATTAAAAAAAAGAATGTAAAAATAAAAGAACTTTAGGAAAAAGTTGAATATTGAAGGCAATGTAAGCAAGTACAGACAGAAGCTGAATATCATCATCACAGAATTATTCCTGGTATAAGAATATGTCTGAATTTGTAAAAGGACTCTTAGAGGCTGAATTTTACTTTGGGCTGTATTTTATTATCTATATTTAATTACAAACTTTCATAGAATGGTAGAAACTTACATAGAAAGAAAAGCAGATGTTAAAGTGTTAGACTGATACCTCTATGGCTTGGTATGGCCTCAGGATGACACACTCTGGGACGAACTCTCTTGAACTACAGAGACACACTCAGAACCATTTTCAGTCTCTAGGATTTTTTAGATTGTTCATTTGTTTATTTTTAATAAATATTTTATTCCCAATGATATTCACATAGTTGAGAAGGATGCATGTCCATGTGAACCACCGATCAGGGTGCGAATGTTTGAGGAATGAGGGAAGTAGATGAAATAATTGATTCCAATCTCTTTCTTCCTGTATCTGGGGGAAAGGTAGAGAAAGGGAAATGGCTGCTTCCAGCAGCCTAACCACATCAGTGCCCGGGGATGGGAGATGGCCACTCAATGTCATTCTAGAATCCCCAGTGTGGAGAATATTCTGAGGGCACTGCCCAAGTGGCTTCGGCAGTTCCAAGACACTTGTTGTCACAGCGCAGGTACTGCAACTTAGCTTGGCCCAGCCAGCCCCAATTCTAGCTCATGTTGGCAGGTGCTGCAGCCTAGCACAGCTGAGCCAGCCCCCAGTCCTGGCTCTCATGTTAACTGGCTGCTGTTGTAGCCCAACACCTGTCCTGCACTCCGTCCTGGTTCTCACATCTGAGAGTAAGTGAAATGAATTGACCCAGCCCAGCCTGCCCCCAGACCTGACCCATATATATGCCAGCAGGTAGTATAACATTGTCTGGTCTGGGATGTTCCCAGTTTTGGTTCTTATGCTCACCAGCAGGAACAGTGCTTGACAAAGGAGCTCCCCAAACTCCTTATGTGGCCACCTCTCATCACAGATCTCACGCACAGCTGGGGGTACTTGGCACAGCCTGAATTGACCCTCTTAATTTTGTGAAACCAGATTCACACTCTATCTTAAACAATGCTTTTTGGTGATAAGCAGGTCTGCACTCCCAAGAGTGCAGCTAATTTCCTTCAGTACTCTTCCTGGTCTCTTGAAACTTTGCGTTGTTTCTTTTTTTTTCTTTATATTCTTTCTCACCGTCCAGACACACTCATTGAAATGACATTCAACTAGATTCTTCTTTCATTTCATAGTAAAATCTGTTCTGGTTCAATCCCGAGTACAGATCCCTACAGTTGTGTTCAGGATGGCATAATGAAATATTAAAACTGAACTGAAGATGAAAACTGTATGAGACTAAAGAGGTAGGCAAAAACTAAGTCTCAAAAGTCTTTGTAAACTGTGCCAAAAAATTTGGAACGTATCGTTAAAACAATTGGAAACCATCAAAGTATTTTAAGCTCAGGGATACCATCATCAGATTTAGGCTAATCAACATGGCTGCCTTGCATAGAATTAGAGGGATGGAGGCGGCACTATTGCAGCCTAATGCCCCATTACTATTGCCATAATCTGACTGTGACTGATGGCTGCCCAAACCAAGGGACTGACTGTTGGAACAGGAAACAATGAAATCAAGTGATGATTCTAAGGAATGGTGTTTGGCCTAGCAGCTAAAGTGCTTATACCTTGGAGTACTTGGATTTGATTTCCTATCTGGCTGCTGACTTTAGCTTCCTGCAATGCAGACCCTGGGTGACAACAGTGACAGTTCAAGCAACTGGGCTCCCGTCACCCACATGGAAAACCTGGCTGGATTAAATTCCCAGCTCCAGCTTAAGCCCCCGCCCAGCCTCTGCCATTTCAGGCATTTGTGGGGTA